GTCGCTCTGGAAACCAAACGTCTTAAGCAATATTTACCGTACATAAAACGTTGACTATTCGGTAAGTTACCTACAAAAAAAAAAAAAGAGAGAGAAAATCATCAAATTAAATTAATGCGTTCTCTGTACGAGTTATTTTCGTCTCGGTATTAATTGTTACATACTCAACTTGGGAATCGATTCGCGGGCTTCTAAGGCATTTTACAATAATTATAGATCGTTTCATACACGCGGAATATCCAAGTCTCCTGCTAACGGATTCTATAATAGAAGGGGAAAAAGTTTTTCACGAGTGATTTCTATAGTTTCCTTAAATGAGCAAATGGTAACACGTATTTCGGGCCTTTTTTCGTCAGATGCAAATAGCATATCCCGTACGTATACCCCCTAAACGAACACGACATTACAGTTTACGCCTTCTATACGCCTAACGATTAACTTTCTTAGTCTAACCGCTTCGAGAAAAAGAGAAGTTCTTATCCACAAAAAAATCAGTACCTGTTATTTCATTTTGCTACAGTTATTTATCGTGAGATAGTACGACTGAAACTTAATGTCGATTCCACGTCTTTCCGCACAAAACACGAGACAGTTCATTGTAAGCTTTTTTTTTTTTTTTTTTTTCAGAGCTTGTATAACTTACTCAGACCTGGCTTATCGCCAAATGAAAAAAACAGCAACAACTTCTATACATTCTCTATGACAGTTTTAAGACTCTCGTGGGTCGCAAGGTGTTTCGCTTGATGCGCTAAGACAAGATCGGCGGTGAACTTTATCGAGCTTTGATCGGTCGTTGACGTCGTATTCACTGGTGCCGAACCGTCGAAGCTATCCGTTTCTCATACTGCTCGTCCATCAAAACTTTTGCGTAATGTTTCAGTGGCCCTGAAGCATTGTTGATTTTGACTAAAGCCTATTGTGTACAAGATAGATTATCCATTGTATACATTGTGCTGTGACGTGTATGAAAATGATAGAAAACGAAAATTCCATGAAATATCTACCATATGCGTATATAGGGCATCTAAGGAATACCAGTTAAGACTTATGTTCCGCGCCTCTCGCCTGATACACAGTACACGAGACACCTGCATATAATGGTTGCCTAAATACAGGGAACGACAGGCCGTTGATGAGATATTTTGGACAGTATCAGGAACTATGGAGATTTAGAAGAAAATTGGCGAAACGATCAGTGTTCAGTGTTCAACGATTGGTTCCTACCGAGTCTGGGTTTCAAACTTCAGTGGTGTTTCAGAGTTGATAAATGTGACGGTTTAACGACGAATAAAGTACGAAGCCGATACAAAAATGGAGTAGAATCCCTGTTGCTCAAAGCGAAGTTTTCCTGCATGAGAAGAATGCTACATAATAAAATGTTGGTAACCTACATACATCCTAAACGCTATCATCAGCGGTTGAGTTATGATCAAGTAAGCACATCGCCCACTTATATTAGAACTATATTGCGTTTATCGTTTGATTTCTAACGCGCAGGTGAAACTAATACCTCATATATTGTACCTTCTAGCAACCGATTGGGTTCGCATGAAGTGCCGTATTTGGAGGAAGTTTATGCGAATCCCATCGGTTGCTAGAAGGTGCAATATATGAGGTATTAGTTCCACTTACGCAACCCAATTGGGGGGGGTAAGACAAAGAATTTCATGACAGTCCCATGTGATCTAGGGAGCATATAAGAAAATAAGTATCAAGACCGAACTGCCGCAAGCGGTACTTAGTATAGGTGAACGAAATGTCTAACGGCTTTTCTATGGACGGTAATGTAGGCTAGTTATATCTGTGTTGAAAATCATCCACGCGGACCCTGCGTCCAGTTGACTGAGCTAGCAGTGTCCTATGGTCACTTCCACGGTATGGATAAGACTTTATTGTGTTCGTGATGGATGATTTATGCATCAGACAACGGTATCGCAGCGTACGTAACTGTAAAATAGTCCTAATAATTCCATGGCCATTGGAGAGAAGACCCAAATCACAATAGCATATGCAAGTATCGCTTCACGAAGATATCTATAAAAGAACAGAAGTAGATCTCAGGAGTAACACCTGCTTCGAAAACTAAATAGGAAGCGTAAGGAAATGACTAATCCAGCCTAAGCTATTGATATTAATATAAGGTCAAAGCACCTTGCGGATGAGTAAATAACTGATTGAGCCGCTTGGTAGACCAATGAAGCACTGTCAAGTTCCAAAAAAAACACTTCACTTTGTGGACATTTGCAGAAAGACCATATATATTACGGCTATGTTAAACGTTAGCTTGTTTAATTCCAGTGTCGTGATCGCTTGTGTTAGGGGACGATTTGTTTCATAAAAACGAAGTCTCGGCAAAACAAGCGCTTGCAGTCTATTTTCACGGAATTGAAAATGCGGAAACGGTCTTAGCGAAAAGAATAGCTATAAATGGATCTAAAGCAGAACCTGAACTACCCTACGAATGATTAAATGGTTATTCGAGATGGCATTATCAATGCGTGCGGGTTTGTCAAGCATCGCAAACGGGAAATCTCCACATCTATATAATAGCTCGCTATCTGATCACATTTTTTAGAAGTAGGTTCCTGCATAGCGGACCCTCTGCCGCCAGATCGCTAGATAGACATGAATAAACGCTTAACGATAGAACAGCGTTTCCTAATGGTGTTAGTGCAGGTGGCGTAAGTGATTCCGTCCGCGAGTTGTAATGGGTTGCCACCGTTCGCATAGATTACGTTGCCTGATGGTTCATGGGGATGCTGCAGTCTGATCATTGCTTAAAAGCGCCTGCCTATGCTACGCATCGATCCTTGATTCTATTTATTCAGGATGTCTGATGTGAACTTGAGTCTTTGCTTAAGTTAAGTTTATGTATAATTAAAACCAAGTTAGAAGCGAAGCGGCCCGGCGGCACGGGCCGTAAAAGTTGTTATATAACTTAAAATGTTATTCTCGTAACGTAGAGGACGCTTCTTTTGTTAATGGGCAGCATAGCTGCAGATGGGCTCTATATCTAACCCAGAGGATACCGTCAAGGTGCGCAGGTAAGCACTCTTGTATAGATGCCAATAAGAAACGTGCTGGCAAAACATTCCCCGCAGGACCGGTTGGAAATGTTTTTAACAGACAGACCAACGTCGTTAGCTAGTTAGATTATTAATGATGATAAAGCAATATGGTACGTATGTACAACTTGCCTATGAGCATTGGGCAGAATTTGTTGATCTACTGTAGAAAATCGTAGAATTTTGTAAAAAGAACTTTTTTTTTTATTCTGCCTCGATGGTGTATTGCGACTATGCAATGTCCGCACGTTTGGACTTGTGACAGCCATTCGAACAACGACATTGAAGAATCAATTGTTTTTGGCTAAAACGCAATACATTTACAATTCTTATTACAATGAGCATCTGAATAAAATGAACATTTAAAAACTGTGTTCTTCGTGAAGTAAAGAAGACTATGATTTGATCGCCTGAGTTTTACGTCGCAGTACATTCCCGTTAAATAATGCGTTCTCTTGTCAGAAGTGTCTATAGCCAAGCACATATTACTGGATGACTGCCAACATTTTTTTATAATATTCTAACAATAACCGAGAATTGGGTCAACATTTGGGTTCCTTAGTACCTGATCAAAACGCCATATTTTTTCGGAAACGTGCGTCAATTAAAACCGTTCAAGAGTCTCGACCCCTGTTCACTCGCCTGTTGTGCTTAGCCACTTACATTCAAGGGCAGCATAAAAAGTAGTAGTGGGTCAAATTTTGGACAAACTAAAGCACGTTTGAAATATAATTTTATAGAATTTTTCATTAGCATGCATCTGAATGTACTTCACTTACTGTCTCTTCGAAAACCTCCACCGCTCAAAACCGTCCGTGAAGTAAATCCTGTCCGAATATATTTGCTACATAGAGAAACAAGTATGTTGTACTTGTAAATTTTTAAATTGTTCTATTTAATGTGTCATATGTAAGAACGTTGTCATGACCGTTATTATAATTCTGCACAACAGTATATAGCTGTACCTTTCTATAGGTGTTCCTCTGATTAGCCACGAGCACGCGAAGTACGCTTGGCCTTATACATGCTAAATGTTTTATCAAATAAACAACACCCTTCATCGCTTGTCAGTCAACGGAATCGATTATGTTCGCGTCGAGCCGCTGCAACAGGTTGTACAGCTATCGATTGCGGCGAGGGGCATTCGTCACGATTACTACTGATGTCGATTTTGTAGACGCACTTCGGATTGTGACGACGATGACGGCGGCACGCACTTATCTTGCCGTCGTTAAACTTGGACGAGGGCGAACTAGTGATAACTGATGAACGCTTGTGCGCCTTCTGTCGCTAATAGTTCCATCATGCAGATGCGAAAACGTATCAAATGGTGCATGTACGTACTGACATGCTGCGCGAATCGTTGTTCTCACTGTTTATGTTGTGCCAAGCGTCCGTCCACTGGAACACTACTGACTATAGCAAACGTCTTTTTTCAGTATGGCGGTGCTGCAACAGTAACAACAGCGACTTTCGTTGGCCAGTTCAAGGGCGATTGTTTTGCAGCGATAAACCGCCCATGTGACAGCCACGGTAGCCGTGGTACTGGCAGCAACGATCGATGCAGTAGTCGTACTAGAAGTGATGTCAGCCGCCGTGTTCATATGACGGCGGTTTTTTACGTTTAGTCTGATACGCACCACCTCTTCCTTCACATTTAAGCCTTCCTCGAATATATCCATCGTATAATTCATAGCCAGTGTTCACTAAGCTAACAACGATAGCACAGGTTACTATTACTAACTGTCAGACAATGCATCCATTGAAAACTTGGAGAACTTGTTTGTGTGATTATAGCCGGTGAACTCGTCTAAAGAAGCTAACGATGAGGCTCATTTAAAACACGTACATTACCCCCCCCCCCCCCCTCAAGAATACCCCTTGTCATACACTTCACCTGTAAGTAAAAACTAAATTTAAAGTCTTTATTATGTTATTGACTGAACTCCTAACGTCTCGAACAGAAATCGATCAGAAGTTAGGCAGCATTCAAACTCTGGAACTGTAGAGGGATGCGGTCTTAAGCCTATAATTTATTTTATTCACAATTCAATATTGCTAAATATATATTATATTGAATATTACTGTTCCCGTAGTAGAGAATTCTACTTCTTCAAGCTTCCCTGAATCATTCCTTGGCCTATTTGACCGTCGAGGCCTGTTTTTGCTAGTTCTAGTATATGCGTAGCGTGTACTAGCCTGTTCGTAAGGTAACGGATGTCCTTATATTTAACAAAAAAATAAAAAAAAAAAGAAGCGTAATGTTTCATGCGAACTTTAGTAACAAACTGTGTGGTAGCGGAGTGCTTTGCCTCCTCACGATTCAACCTTTGAACTTATCAAACCGACGTCTGCGAGTCCACCTTGTTATAGGCTTTTCACTTTGCACGACATAAGTATACTGGGTCGCTGCAGCACCTTTTCGACGCTATTAAGAAAAAACTAAAATTCGTATAGGTAAAATTTCGTTAACCACACGATAATGCAATTACAATGTGAAATGGAAGCGAGAAAAGTCCATTTGAAACCATTAAATACGCGAAAAAAAACTTCGCTGTTGATAAAGTTACGTATTGACTTTTCAAGGAACTTGATCAGCTCTTCCGGGCTTCGTTTACATATGCTTAGCCCAAATAGATGATCATCTAAATGAAATTAGTTAGCATGCTTTTCCACAATAACAATCCAATCTTGTTCGAATTTTGTCGAAAGAGCTTAACTACTAATCCAAGTAATTATCACAGGCAAAATTCCGTGATACCATATAGAAGGTACAATTTACCGCTGCTGCCACTACTTCTATAGAAATAAAAAATACTGCTTTAACTTACTTTTTAACAAAGCAAATTAGCAACTTGAGGCAATCTCGTTTTTGACGCAAAATTAATCCAGGCTTATAATCGAAGCATCAGGACAATAATACACAATGTCCTAGGGCAAGTTGAATCACCTAATATTTTCTTATTATGCCGCTATAGGTCGATTCAAGTTATGCCATGTCTACTTGTATTCATGTATCAATCATCATAGTTGAGGTACATAACCTTGAAGTAGGTGTTTTAAGCAGATGGATGGTTAACTATAGAATAGTAATAAGCCCGATTAGGAGACCATGTGTTCATTCATTTTATCAAAAACGACGAAGTAATCGTGTGTTTCATCACGAGCAACTTATAAACTTATAAACTGTCAATATGTTTCGTTGATTTCTTTCCGTAATTTTCAGTAATATATATATTGAAGCCCTATATTGCTGGTCTTACATAGTCTCGAAAGAAAGAGACTGCCTATAGGACTCATCCCATATAGGTATCGTTCAGGAACAGGAAAAAGGAATGGGGATGTTTAGCGCCGGAAAAGCAATCCTTTACCCTAGCGCTTCCGCTCCGTCAGATCTAGCAGGTTTTTCAAGCAGTGCGAGATAAAAAAAATTACGACAAGTAATCCAGCCAGCTTCCTACTACGCTCACGTCTCGGCTGTGACCCGTCTGAATAGTTCTTGCAACGTGCTGAAACACCGTTCGGAGCTCTGACTAGTGCTAGTGCTAGTGCTGTCAGCGAGCTTGTTGACTTCGCTACTTCAGTAGCTTATTATATGCAATCATCAGGCATCATCCTGGTAATCATTCATTCGCTCAGTTACGCTCAAATACCCGTCAATTCGCTGCAGTGAAATGGTCATTGTGACGGGGGGAAAAGAAAAATTCATTGGATAGGTACCACGAAAGGAGTAACGAAGACGGCCGACGGTAAAATTACCATGTTGATTTTGATCCTTTCTGTCAAGTATCTCGTCGAGCGGACTATTAGACCATTGCGTTGACCAGTCAGTAATGTATTATATAATTATGGCTATATTATGTATGTATGTATGGTGTCATTAATAATACCTATGAGCAAACCGATACTTACTAGTTAGGATTCAAAGTTGCATTAAAGAAAAAAAGTTAGGAAAATATTATCTTTCGTTGGACCGAATACTCAAGTATATTATTCGAGTTATAGCAGTCTATTCAAACTTCGTATGCAGCTAGAAGTGAACGGGTCAGCATGAGGTTGACACATCACTCTGAGGTCGTTACAAGGTTCAGAGTGAAGTCAAATGATCCGACTGAGCAATCTTTTTTTTGGACTATTTAACATTAACATTCTGTTACTTTTGCGTTGCTTGTCACTAATAACGCGTTAACTGAGAGACAAACCTTAGAATATCACTGTCATATTTAGAAAATCTAAACGTGCACACAAATTGTAAAGCATCTGATCTTTTGGCAAATAGTAGGGATCGCGAGCTGAGATCAGAGCTGAAACTAAAAGGTATAGCTAAAAGGTCAAACAGAATTATACAGATATATGAGAAAAGTTGAAGGTGAGGTCAAAGATAAAACCATAGTACCTATTGTGATACATTGTAACGCTTTAAGAACCCGGACAACGACAAGAGAAAAGGTAAACGAAAGCAGGCGAAAATTGATTGCACTTATTATCTGTGAAGTAAAACCATATGTTGCTGGCCAATGGCAGCAACAATGTGAAAACAATTCCCTAACAAAAATGATAGAAATGGTAAAAATTCTTATTCTAAAATAGTAGAAAGGATGCTGTAAAGGATGATGATATATACATTAATATTGAGCAAACAAGCGTAAGTGACCCCAGTCAGTCTAACGCATGGCGTCTATGTACTACGACATGAAAACACGTAAGATACTGTTCGTATTGTAGTTAAATAATATGAAAAATACATCGATTTTAGTTAAGAAATCGCTTTTACCCGTATCGGACCAGGCCAGCCATTTAATGAGAGAACGTCGCGGACATTAATAATCTATTTTACTTCAAGATGGCCCACGCAGGCCACACGGGACGTGAAACGGCCGGCCAGATGACAGGCGATGCGTACAACATTAGCGACACACATACGTGGAATATGATGCATATGGCATTTTACGCGTCAACAAACAGCACTATCCTTTTCAGCGACTGGAAGATTACCAATGCTAGACGTAAGTGACGGCTTCATTGAGACTTTTACAAACATATCTTTAAGTAAGATTCGGCCCTATTCGGCTAGAGATCAAAATAATTCTGTCGTTTTACAAATTTGCGGGATGTATTTTAGTATAGCAAAAACTACAGCTCCTATTGGCCATCCACTGCCGTTTGTCACGAACGGCGCTTAAGGTTGATCCTTATTTTTATCATTAAGTAATTACGGTAAGTACTTACTTACCTATATCTTCGCATTTGAAAGCCTTGGCCATATATAAATATATCATAGCATATCTATGTTTATCCTGATGTCCTTTGATGTTAGTCAATTTTATCCATCAGTCCCACTCGACACTGAATAACAGCAATGCGTGGTCTGTCGCTTCTCATTTTACCTGTACCGTATCGCTATCTTTTACTGTCTATATGTCTAACGTTCTGCTGACGCTACAGCTTCTTTGTTTTTTGGCGGTACGCGCTTTGTTAAATTCTACAGAACTGTACTGCAATATTTCCATCAACAGGCCATATTCTGCAACGGGTGCGCTGAGGCGGCCCATGTGGAATATGTCCGAAATTAAACTGACTCTATGGGAAGCAAAAAGGAATCTAATCGATCTTCTAATCGATTAGGTAACTTGATTTTTTCGTAACGGTTATCAAGCTTAGTGTATTTACTTCAAAAGCGGGCACGTATCTTAGCTTCACAACGTGCGTGAGGCAGTATCTTTCTACGACATATAGTGGTTTTGATCTCTGTTTCAAGCGGTGCTTTTGCATTTTTGTCTCTATCCAGAGATGGTCGGCGCATGCGTCGGAGTGTTCGTAATGGCAATGCTATTTGAGGCCTTAAGAACTTTTCGGGAGCGTCTGCGATCAAGATCCCGCGGGGACAGCAAAACCTCGTTGATTAGTCAAAGCCGACAATGGACTTCAGCCCTTATGGACCCTAGTCATCTTGTACAGACAATGCTATACGGGTTTCAGGTAATCTTGTCGCTTCACAGATACATCTGAGATAAGTATGTTCTCATTATGTGTATACGTATTTATATTCTATTTACGTTTAATTATAGCAGTTGCAGAGAAGCTTGATTAGTTTCACCCAGCAAGTGAATGGTCTACTATATATATGAAATATATATGGTTTTCCTGTTTTTGATGTTATTACAGATTACGCTCGGCTATTTGTTGATGCTGATCTTCATGACGTATAACGTCTATATCTGCCTTGCTGTGGTGTCCGGCGCTACATTGGGCTTCTGGCTATTTAGTTGGAGAAAATGCCCGATGTTTGACATAACCGTTGAGCACTGTGGATAGCTCCAATAAGCTGGGATTTCAGCTGGCAGTCCGGAATAACGCAGATTCAAAGCGACAACAACCACTGAACAGAAAAATCGATTAAATTTCCTAACAATATAGCGACGGTAACAGCGTCGTTAGCAGTAAGGATCTGCTCGACGAGCTTTGATATAACCATTTAGGTCTAATTCACGATCGCTTAACTTACGCGTTAAAAGTTAGCTAAAGATCGGCGCTGTCAGGAAACAAGGCTTGAAGGAGCTCCTACCTTAAAGTGGTCGTTAAGCTCAATGATAAATTTCAACATTAATCATATGGGTCGCGTAATTTCACATAATAAGATCGATGTTTGGCACATACATCCAGTTACTGTATTAGTTGGTCAGCAAAATGTAACGCCAATGACACAAGCTGGCATGATGAAAGGCGCTTACTATATGTAGCCCTTAACGACTACTGTGACATTATATAGAGAAAATAATAAAAACAAAAAAAAATAACACTCCTCAATAGTTCCAGTCATTTGTAGCTACCTGTTAAAAACGGAAACATATATAGAGGTACTTTTTTTCTCAACTTGATTATGATGCAATGCTATAAGCCACATTGGAAAAAATGCCACCGTTTAGAAAATTGTTTGTCCTATTACGTTCTGTTGGACGTTCTCTATAGTGTCACTTAGCCCAGCATAAATTCAAACTTAAAATCTCTAAACGGTAATATGTTCTTATATATATATATATATATATACATGCGAAAGAGCTTAGTGAACTAGCGGCAATCTCTTCGGTATTGCCGAAAAATGGCAGCAAAGCCGTATTGTAGAGTTTCGTTGGACGTCGGAAATCGTCCGCAGGTTCGAAATTTGCATTTGAAAAGCAGCTTTTCGTTGATAGGACTTTAAGAGATCATTTTTTTCGCGGCTATTTAATAGGTCTGACCTTAATGACGAGGACCCAGTGTTTCTTGAGGATGCATAGCTTTGCGGTCGCACTGAATCTTGAAAATCTCACTTTTAACGTTAATGCCTGATAGCGCTATTGCACTATCGATAACTTATCACCCTCAGCCGCAGTAATTAGTCCGGAGAAACGTATATCCACAATGTAGGTCCGGCCATCTGCGATAGGTGACTACTTAGAAGTATAGCAAAAACGCTTTACGCCGATTTAATAATATTAAACCCAACACCAATAGTTGCTACGTATTACAAACGCACGCGTGGACGCCATTGACACAATCACCAGTAAGAGATGACACTTACTATTAATGATTTCTATGCGTCGTTCGAGTGCGGCCTATGTTTGTTATGGAATATGGATATAACGCGAAAAAGGTCTGCTTTTTCGAGAACAAAACAGCAAACGCATCCAGGAGGTTAGTCCTTCGAATATAAAGGCAGCTGTCGTCCAGTATCTCTTTATCTTACGAACTTCCGCCGAGAATAGAGGCCGTGTCCTATATGTCTAAGACCAGGTCTTTCTTCCCCTCAAGTGTTAAAATTCACTGCTTCGGGTTAACACTCGGAGCTTGCACCGGACAAGTACCTGTTCGCTGAAGCAGTACGAAAATCAAGTTCTACGACTGGAAGACCATCGTAACAGCTTGACAAATGTCTAAGAATGCGCGAAAATAAATACTTAATGAATATAACGTCCCGATGCCCTCTTAGAGGCTAAATCTAAAGTGCCTGTTATTGCTCGAATCGTCTTCGAAAGTTCCAATAATAAATGTTATACCACCGAAGTCCGGCGGAAGCTTTCGGAGGACAATAAAACTGAGAGACGTCTTTGATATCTCAGCGATAAGATAATATTTAGCGCGGCTTTAAAGACCAATTGCTGGAAGGGCCGCTGACTTGCTCAAGATCCAAAAGATATCCTTGTTATGATTGCAACCACACTTTGAACTAGTGTCAACGTTCTTGGTATAATGTTTAGTACTTTTATGCTTTTGCCAAAAAGTCTAGAAATTCTGACGCACCTATGATCGATGGTTAGATCGCATAATAGGCTAGCCGGCTCACGTGTCAATTTGAAGCTGTGGTCAAACCGAATCGACGATCAACTTCGTCAAGGATATTTCTATCGGTACATGCAAAAAGCCGTACCCATATATTGATTAGCATAAACAGATCGTCCGACATGTTATTAATTCTAGAATGAAACACTTTATAGACGTTGCAAGGCTAAATTGAACGCCTATTCGTTTGGATTAAACGGATCCGACTGATCCGATTATGTACAGGTATGAATCTGTATCCTATATGGGCGTCGAAAACATCAAATGTTTATAACGAAGGGGATATTCCTATCTTGAAGTAAGCTGCACCCTATTACGTGGATGACCCCAATTTAGACGAGGAGAGACATATAACAACAATAATGCCACCTAACTTTAAGACCGAAAGAAAGTAGCGAGAATATAATGAGTAAGCGTTCCCTCTGTTTGCAAAGCGGATAAAACGGCAAATAGCGATTATTACTATTATTCGGAGAACGAAGCAAGCAATCGCGCCCCAAACAACGTTGGACTAATGAAACCTGCGCGCCACATGAACACACGAGAGGTTGGAGAGGGTCAGGCAATGAATATACGACACAGGGCCGCCAATAGAAGCCGCTCTTGTCCACTAGCCGTTCCAAGCAGCTAGCTGACTTTTAGCGGTCCGTCTGTTCGTTAGCACCGCCTGGCCAGTTGCTCCTGCGTAGCCAGCCAAGTAAGGTGAGCGAGGGATGGGTCTGCGTGCGAGCCCAGAGAAACTGTTGCTTTTTATGTTTGCTACAATTTGTTAATTTTCATTTTAAGATTGTCGGCAATATCCTAAATCGAACATGACTGCAGTTGTGTGCATTCATATCGCGTCTAATATTCCGGTGTATTATATATGAACGGCGTAACCTACGTATCAATATATCGAAGAACGTTTAATGTATAGTTGAGTAAGAGTGCACCAGTCATATGTATTTCGTATAATAACTTTCTCTACTTATGCGTAGTCTCGTGCGGGAAAGAAGTAACTCACAGCTTTTGTTTAGTGATTGTGGAATCGTTGAGGTTGAATAGTTGACTTCCTCAGTTCGAATCTGGTAGATAAATTAGATATTCTCAGCATTATCGCCGACCGTGATGTACACGGGGCGCGCGCACATGCTGTGCTTTCCAACTCGTATGCAAGCGGAACACGCGTACCCCTGACGTTAAAACAGACCAGTCGACGGTAATGGCAACTTCAAAAATGCCAGGTAGAAGTCACTATTCTCGCTATGACGGCACCGAGGATTGCATTAGCGCTGATTGGCGCTGTCTGCGTCATCGAAAAAGACGCTAGTGTCAAAGGGTGCTTCCAATGAGATTGATAGACGCTCTTTGTAGGCGTACCCAGGTGGGATATATATTGCATGTAATGCTTGTGACGGTCTTAATCGACTGGTCACGTCTATTTTCAACATATAGACTTGGTGTAACTAATTTATTTAATTCATAGGTAAGCTAATTATTTCGTCTACTTCTTTCTCGTTGAACAGATAGACCTATCGCAAACATGTCCGAAGCAAGCCGTATGTTGAATTTCTCAGCAGGACCCTCCGCGCTTCCCCTCCCTGTTTTAAAACAGGCTCAACAAGAAATGCTAAATTATAATGGATCAGGCTGCTCCGTAATGGAGCTCAGCCACAGGTATGCCACACATTTATCGAAAATCAACGTCGAAAAATGTAAAATATATTAAGACATTATTCCGCAGACTTTCATTTAAGTGAAAATGGGAACACTAATAATAACAAAAGGCATTTCTTGATGCCTACTGATGACAAACATAACATGGGCGACAACAATGTAAAACCTTGCAGCCGTTAATTTCACCTAAAATAATTTGTCTCATATTTTTGCACTGCTACCATAAATATTGCAGATCAACAACATTCGACAGAATCATCAAGGATGCTGAGAGGGATCTTCGGGAACTCCTTTCTGTTCCTCCAACTTACAAGGTTCTCTTCATGCAGGGCGGTGGTACGGGGCAATTTGCCGCCATTCCATTAAATCTATGTCCCAAGCTCAACGAACAAAAGGCCGATTATCTAGTCACAGGTAAAACACTTACACAGAATACACTTTTACATAATGTTTTTCGCCAAATTGTTCTTATATTGTCCTTCTCATGACTGAATGATACACAATGCAACTGAAACCAAGTTCCTGCTAGGATCGTAATTTACGCCCGCTTACCTTGTATGCAATATAAGGTGAATATTTATTCATCAAAGAACCAAATGAAGGGGCAGTTCATATTTGTGGGAAATTAAACGAGTGAATTCTAATAACCTTAATAAGATTTAGGTTCCTACTGTCCACATATACAAGTAAATTACTTCTATAAAGAGTGATTGTCCTCGCCTTTACGATACGTTGCGGCAGCGGGCTTAATATCAAGAAAATAAAACATTATCGGTAAGATTACATCAAGTAAACAAAAAGCTTCACAGTCTGCTCCTCTTAGTCTATACAAGGTCGGAACACCGCTGTATAATTTATGAATATCAAAGTAATAACAGAAATATTTTTTACACAAGAGAACAACCGTAATATCGTTCAGAGGCATTCAGATACATATCTTAGGCTAAAAACATTTATGGGAATAGCTATTTACCAGTACGATTTTATGAAGACTGTAAAGAGTATCTTGCAAACATCTACCTTGACATCAAAATTAATATTTTTCAGATTATATGAACGCTATAATAGTTATCGCAAATTTGCCATTTTGATCATAGGCACGTGGAGTCGAAAAGCTGCCGAGGAGGCCAAACAATACGTTCAAGTTAACCTGGTGACACCGAAGACGAGTAAATACACCCGAGTTCCACCCGCCTCCGAATGGAATCTCTCGCCCGACGCCGCCTATTTCTATTATTGCGATAACGAGACGATTCACGGCGTCGAGTTCCCTGAAGTGCCAGACGTATCGTCGTGCCCGATCGTTTGTGACATGTCGTCCAATATTCTTACGCGCCCCGTTGACATCTCCAAGTTTGGCGTAAAATATGCAATGTTCTTTTGTTTGCCGACCATTATCTATATATATATATATATATATATATATATAATGAAAGGCGCGATGCCTTCCCTTATCCCAATTGAATATCGTTTATGAGCTGTAAATTTTTCAAATCTGTCTAGCAAGTAACGAAATATAGAGCAATAGATATTCATTTTTGCAGATCAGGCTTATGCCGGTGGAGAACGCATCGTAGAATTTTTGCCCGTAAATAGAATTACATGGTAGTTAGATCTATGAAAAATTAAGTACACGATTCCAAGGACAAACGTCAAGGACAAATGATTTTAGTAAAGGACTATCATGTTATTGTTTTCTGTAGGTCATTTTTGCTGGCGCTCAGAAGAACCTTGGGCCCGCTGGAGTGACCATCGTCATCGTTCGCGAAGATCTAGTTGCTGTCCCGGCATCGGTCTGCCCAAGTATATTGGCTTACAAGGTGTTTGCTGAAAACGATTCGCTTTATCACACCCCTCCAACATATGCTATCTACTTGCTTGGACTCGTGCTCAAGTGGATCAAATCGGAAGGCGGCGTAAGTGGCATGCAGGTAAATATCAAAGGACCGTCAGGAAATTAACAGCAAGTAAACGCACATACCGATGTAACTGTTTGTGTAAAAATAGGATGCATTCGTGGCTCAGACAACTTGACATCCTGTTTACTAGACTAAGATTTAACTTTTTTAATTGTTTCACATTGATAGGCACGGAGTGCTGCGAAGAGCCAAGCTATTTACGACCTCATTGACCAATCTGGTGGTTTTTATGTGAGCAATATCGACAAGGCTTGCCGATCGAGAACTAACATTCCATTCAGGATTCGGTCAAACGACGCACTCGAAAAGAAATTCCTAAAGGAAGCTGAAAACGCGGGCATGATTCAGCTAAAGGGACATCGGTCCATTGGAGGAATTCGCGCATCAGTTTTCAACGCTATGGATGTTGTTCAAGCCATGAAGCTCATAGAATTTATGAAGCGCTTTCAAAAAGCTAACCAATAGTAGACGGCCGACTCAGTTGGCTGGCTCGATGGATAATACCTGATAAACCACGTTTAGCTATTGGGAGCATGAATGCTTTGTTACTGACACGAGAATCTATAGCGAAATACGAACCGAAATGCCGATTTAATATTCTAGAATAAGGTTAAGAAGTAGCGAAAATGCGTATTTGCACTATCAGTTGTCCTAACATTGTGCAGTCCTAGGATTAGATCTTCATTGGTGTATAGGCCCACATAGGGCTTCCACTACAAGGAGTTGCATTTCGAAGAAGCTCAGACAACTGTGGAACGCCCTTTTTTTTTCATTTGAGCGTGGTCAATGGCTAAAGTAAGACTAATTTATTGCGAAAGGAAGCCAATCTAAACCTTTGGTTAAGATTGCAGTTGTGAAGATGATGGCTCAAAAATCATTTATTGCCTGTGGTCAACAGGCAAAGTGTATATGTTCGGAATTAGGAAGGTTCTTTAAATCAAGCAGATTTACCTGCATCTAGGTCGAGCTTGACATTGATACCTGGCGCAAATACTGGTAAAATTTGACCCTATATAACTTTTATTATTGCGAAAACAACCTATTTCTAAGGTGTGTTGTAACATTGAGATGACCTTAACGCGGGCGTCGAGGGACGTGGTTCACTTTGAACGATGCTGACTTATTGATATAAGTTCCCAGTCGCTGGCGTTTGACAGAGAAGGTACTGGCAATTTAGGCAGGTACAGAAAAGACTGTGCATTTATAATATGTAATTACATAGCGCAGCTACTTTGTAATACAACCATTTACATATATCAGAGTGCCAATGTATATATATATGCATCTATATATATATATATATATATATATATATATATATATATATATATGCAGAATAAAACAATGCACACTAGTAAAAAAAAATCCGTTGTCACTTTTGCAGTAAAAGTTGCTTGGGATTAAAAAAGTTATATGATATAAGTTAGTTGAACATATCGTCCGTTTGACGAAATGATTAACAGTCGTGCCAGACGTAAAATGCGACGCGTTTAGTTAGACATATTGTATGAAGTGACTGTGACGTATGTTAATGATTGGTCAATTCTTAATTACAAAACTATAGTTCGTCTCCGTTCCATTTGCAGATACGATTGCTGTTAACAAGAGCCAATTGTCTAACAGGTTTGTGTCTACTTAACGACGCTTCTGAGCACACGTAAATTTTTATATACTACAGTGCAGAGCTTATTGAGGGGCCTTCCTTTTTTTGTTATTTTGTGTGCCATGGATTCTATTTTCAAGAGTCGATAATTTATCATAAATAAGTGAAACAAGAACTTAAAATAAGTTTATAATAAAAGTTGAAACCTCTCTTGAGATCAGTCTCGAATACTAAGAGCTTCCTAACGATAGAAATAAAAAATTTTCGTTAATCAATGTACATGCTACTTTGCGGATTCGGTATTTACATTACTTACAATTGGGTTGTCTCTTGCAGCATATTGCATCAGCTAAAAAAGTACCAGTTACCGGCCATTACTGCTGTATCATATTTTCTCTAGTAATGGAATCAAGTTCTATACGCCATTTTCAAAATTCATAATTATATATATTTTTCATAGTTTTTTTTTAAATGACGATTATTAGCTCAATAAAATGTATGATTAAGCTGTCTTGATTACATCATATAATTTTTGCTGTTCGCATCATATACATTATGGGGCACCCATGTCCGGGTGTTTCCTTGTGATTTGTTTTTGAGACCATATCCAAACAAATCAAGACTGGTTTTCTATAGCATATGCTAGAAATGTCATTCCTGAAGCTTATATATATATATATATATATATATTTAAATACTAAACCACTACGCACTGCGATTAGAGCTTCGATTCGGGTCTTAAATCACATGTTGGTCGTTTGCAAAACATACCTTCTCTATTGTGCAAATAACGTTTTCATATTAATCATATGTTGAACAAGATTGGTTAATGTGAACTCGTTAAAGGGTCGCTTAAAGACGCTACATACTAAATATTCTGGAAAAAAACTCAGTTGCAAGTTACTAGGAGACGAAAAATCACAAATACGCCACGATTTTTCAAGGCTAAAAAGCTTATAAGAAGTGAAAAAGCGGAACTTATATTCTTTTCTCCAAAAACAACCAATAATTTTTGGGTCAAAAACCTTAATACATCAAAGGTGGCTTATTGGGCTGCTTTGATCAATTTTCTAGCTTTTTAAATCTGAAGGAAGATCTTCCGATATGTCTCATGAAAGTCTTCCTCGGATTTTTTAAAATTGCATCAAAAATGGCATTACTGCAGACTCTCGATTTCGGGAAAAAAAAAGGAAAGCTCTTAATATTGATAGGGGTTTGGCCGCTTAAAGAAATAGCATTATAGCTAAATGTTGATAAAATTCCAAAAATAACGTACTGCTTTTCGCCATGATAAGTTTTTCATGTTGCTCTAAAAAGAACTGGCTTTTTTCCCTGCTATTACGTATAGCGAACAAACGACCCGCCAAAGTTTGCACGAAATTGAAATGACCCTTTTTGTATATACACGTACACAGGCAAATAGCCTGCAGCGTTGAAGCGACTTGACCGATGAACTTCAATAATTTTTACACGGTAAACAAAACCATTCGTATTGTATAAAAGTCGTATAGATCAATACCTTAAACGGGGCAGTGGGGTGTTTAGAGCACTTAGAGTCGATGTAATTATTTCTAATAGGTTTTAGAGGATTGAATATACAGATTTTCTAGCAAGAGCGAACATCTGGCCGACGGCTGACTCTACCAGAGATTGTGTTATCGTGCTATTGGTCATTTCTTTAGGATTTATCTGTTAGTTTTTTTTTTTTTCATAAATCGATATGAACATCAAACAAACCATGATTGTAAGAGCACGACGAAACATAAAGCAAAGGTTAGTTCTGTGATACGCGGTTTCACCATGCAGCTCGTAATATTCTAAAATCTATAAAAATTTTTCGTAAAAATAAAATGTTAAAATCATAAATACAATATCACGTTTTAAAACTATACCGATATTTATTGTCCTTCACGTTCCCCCAAAGACAAGTGACTGAAATATGTACGTATGATTCGCTCACACCCATGCTAGATCTTATTACGTGCCCTTATCATCGGCAGTTATCTAATCAGGATAATCGGATACCAGACGTTGATTGTGCGCAACTGGGCCATCCACCTGATAGCAATGAAAATGCTCCGCTTCTTATAAAAGCCAAATAGACCCGCCATCTTGTTAAGTTCGGCCGAAACCGGTTATGCGAAGACTGCACAAAAAACATGTGCAGCGATAATACTGCTTGCGCATATATATTTTTGATTAATCTAAAATTGCTGTTTTCAGATCACGTGTTAACATACACCTATAAACCAACGATCATCAACGTTCGTAAGAATGCAATCTCGAAATGCTTCTCGTACTTATTATTAGAAACTGGATGAAAACCAGACTCCAAAAAATACTCGCAAACACCAGAAGCACATCCCGCTCGCTTATACTGTACGATCAAACTGAAAATTAAATTCAAAATTAGTTAAACATTTTTTCACATCATTTGATATAAACTATGCATTTCGCAGCGACAGAGGTTCCTTTTGTTAACAATACACGAATTGTGAATCAATAATTATAATTTAACATCTGTAGGCTATCAATCGTGTAGGTATTATATTGTAAACGTGTTTGAGACCTATGAGGATACACGTTAGGTATCAGCTAGAGATGCTAAGAGACACATCGCAAAGAGGTGTGATTTTGCAGCCAAGGAAGCAGTTTTGGGTCAATATTTTTCAATTTGATTGAAGTTTTATGACAAAATTATACGGAGTGGACTCATTCAGTAGTTCTAAAACATTTTTATTCACATACTCTAAGTACTGCTTTTAATTAGTGTAACTGCTATTATTACAAATAAGTGTTTTTTTTTTCTTTCTAGAAAAACGTTTCAAATGAGTTTCCTGATATTTATTGATCGTTTTTTCACTCCGCCTCCACTAAAGTCATCCTGAAAAGCTCATTAGAACAATGTCGATAAGCAGCCCATAGCTAATATGCACTAAGGTACGAATAAAATAGACGCAAGCCACAGTAGCTTGTCGATCACATAATCGACGTTGCTCACACAGTAACTGCTTCTTCACTGGCACATATAATAGTGCGTTTATATACTTATATAATAAAGTATATAAACGAGACAACTGAAGGTGTCGTATATTGAGGCGAAATACGGTCCACGAACCCGCTACAAATGTATACTCATCGTATCGAACAATTCGACTTTAAACGCAAATGTCCGTCTAATCATTTTCAAACTTCCGGATTTTTTTATTGCCCATTTACGAATTTCCTAAGCCATTTATGTAGAATATTTTCATATGCAGACACCGGCTGCTTTTTTGTAAGAGCTAAAAACGATTCGAGAATTTTAGTTACGATCTAGCACATAAATGCCTAGCGTTAAACATGAACTTTCGAGTAGTTTAAAATCGCACTACCGTAATTAAGAAAGTGAGACGATTCCACCTACTTAGATCAATTGCAGAATACTTCAATTGGTAGAGGCTTAGATATTAACATTCAATACACGTAACGCTAAATCAATAACAACACTAGTCTGGATATTCTGCAGTACTCTCTGGATGGATGACTTTTCCACTATTACAGTATTATTTATTAAGGAAGGAAGGCTCTAAATTAGCCCAACTTTTCTGTATTACGTTTCTGTTTAACAGCGCAGTCATCAGCTGCATATGCTGCGATTTCATTAGTATGAGTTTTTTCGGAAAATATCGTTACATCATCTGGGCGGATCAACACTAATTATCAGTATGTTTACGCGTGTCCTACCTAATTCACCAACTGATCATGGATAGGTTGATGTGAGCCTGCATTCTCTACTTTCATTGCTATTAGTATTAAGATTATTACCATATTTATTACACTAATTTCATTATCCATTCCAATCTTTCTGTGGACAACGCAGGTACACAGAGTTTTCAGTTTTTTTTTATCGCAGCATGTACGCTAATAACTGAAATAAAAAAAAAAAAAAAAACTTTTAGAAAGCATAATATACTGTAGGAATAATTCTGCAAGCATAAGTCTGTCCAGATATGTGTTTACCCGAACTGATTTGAGGTAAATATTTAACAACGGTCGAACTTGAGCCTATTTGAAGTGACGTAAAAGAATCCTTGATGTTATCGAATAACTTGAAATAGCTTTCACAAAACTGGATTCTCGAATTCTGCTTAAGAACTTCGTCTTTTTTTTTGTGTACTGCATTTGTTTTTCAAATCGTTTTTGCTGTCGGTATTTTAAAATTATACAACTCTAGTACCTCGAGAATACTCAATTCACAAATTTTGATCTAATTAAACTTCATCTAGTATTGCTGTGCACAAATGCACTCAATTATTGTGAACGGATATGATATATCAAAGAGGGCAAATAAACGCCTCCACTCATCCTATCCGCTATGTCTTAGCATGTGGGAAGCAATTGCTGCTAAATGTTGAACACATTCACTGTTCGACGCTCTCAAATTGAACGTAAAAAGAAAACGTACCAATCGGGCTTACCAAAGGAAATGTTTGTATATAATACTGTACGACCAAAACGTCTAGCTCAGTCGGTCGATGCAAACTGAAGGAATGTGAAGAAACTCTGACGCGATCCGTTAACGATGCGATCGATTAAGGTCGAGGCTCTGTAGTACTCGTTTGATCATCGACTACCAAATTCAGTGTATATTACGGTATCAATGTTGGCTGTTCGTGAAGATGATAAATAGCTTCTTCAGTGATAACCAGCTTGATTTCACTCCGCTAGATCATTTGATAAACGAGGTGTTTACTGAAGTATGGCAGATACGATTTTGTTCCAGCGAACAACTCTGTGTATTAGTCCACCAGTACTATTCGGGTAGCTTTCCTCGGATTCTAGATAAATATTATTAATTAGCAAGCAAATCTCTCAGATGTCTTTGTTCTGCAACTACGTAGAATCATATTCTTTGTGAAGTTTCTTGCGCGTACGCATTGTCCGGTTGCATGTGCAAATATTACGGACAATTTAATTTCCGGCTATGATATTCCGACGCTGTGTTAGGCATCAATAGCGACAATCTGTTTCTGGGGGACTACTACTGGTGGGGCATGAGCCTCGAGGCTAGGGTCCTACGAGAGGGTCTCTCCCTTAGTCACCTAAAAAGGAAAATAAAGCATATTCTTAGATATGTAACTTAGCCTTATAGGCAATAGCTAGTAAATTATTGGTGAGGAAAAAGAGCGCATTATAGCATATCAGTAACTACGTCTGAAACGAAGCTCTATTCAATGGTCATAGCCACGTCTTTGTTTATACCATGTGGACATATCATTAAAAATCGGGCATGGTGTTTCAGCATCGAACTGTTTGTTATATATCTACGAGATAGTATTGCATTCACCAGTCTTTTTGCATCATCTACTTGTATCGGCAGTTCGCGCTTACAGTGACAACAATGCAGTAAAGACAATAACGCACCCTGGCTTCGAGATAGTCGATTTTCCGTTCGAGCGCCGTCAGCTTTTCGTTCAACGTCGCAAGTCGCGCGCGGCAGGACATATCTATGATAACAAAGTAGTACGTTGTTCATTAAAACTCTTTCTGTTTTGAATAGTTTTACGTAGGAACAAAAACACCTTCTCGTTAAAACCTAGCCCGTGACGACAAAATACTTGTAATTGTTAAAAATACATACGTCACAGAGCTTTCATTATTCTAATCTTTGTAGTAAAACATGAAACCGCTTAGCTCTTTTGCTACAATTCTTTAGTAAATTAAAGACTGTGATAGTCTGGGACCACGTTAACGAAAGAGGCTAGTAACCGTTAGGCTTGATTCTGGTAAACGAACGTTTAATATTTTGTTTAAGTTTCGAATTTATGAAAATTCAGCTCATAACTATCGAACTTCATTCCAGCGAACAATATCAATTGTTTCAGCTAAGGTGGGCTACAATTAAGACCCAGTGGCATCTTATATCGATGTATTAAAGAAACAAAGCTTCAAAAGCAAGAAAGAATTGGGTTGACTGTTTATGGTATCACAGGGACAGGAATCCGAATTCTGGATCTTTAGCACTGAGTTGCATTAGCACATGATATACGCTTCTGCATACAAAAAAATGAGTCGTTTTCTCGTTGGTATGATCCTACAGTTACAAAATTAAAGTAACTGGCTTACTAAAGTGACTGGGATACTGTATTTGAATATAAGACAGTTCTATATACGCTCGACTTTGGCCATTTCCCTACCGAATGATGTGAGAAAATCTGCGATCTTCTTAATGCTTCCTGAGATGACTTCAATGTACTCCCGGTTCGACCAATCCTGCTGGATGCCACGGGCTACGATGCCGCGTTCCATCGCTCCCGGAACTGTTGAAAAATCTTCGAAAAAAAAATGTTCCGTCTCCCTTACTCGAGGGTAAACTTATTATAAGGACTGAGCCCTAACTTATTAATTACGCGAACTAAACTTGTTGGCATAGAACGCCAGCCTCAGGACTGACACGAAGTTGTCAGACTCACTCTCGCGCTCAACCAAACTCACACTCGCCAAGGGAAGGTGTCGTAATTCATTACAGCATCTATCTACCGGTCGATTGCAAACACCGTTTCACACGCATACCGTGCTTCAACCGTGCACCCCCGTTGATATAGCTAAATAGTCGCCGTGAATAATAAACAAAGCAGACAAGAATGGATATGTAAATATATATCGGGTACAATACCAACAATAATGATAACGATGATTTTTTTTAAGGACGGACCACATTGGTCGCGCGGGCGATTGAGGGGTAGATCGTGGCTAAACAAAGGTTTGTATACACAAAAATTTGACTGATATTTCTTATATATAACGAAATCATAAGTAAATTAACGTTAGAAGGATGCAAATTACAGACGCATATGAGCCCTAGCTTTTCTTCACAGTTGTTCAGATCTGAGTCACTTATCCACGGGTAGGCTACAATGGATGAAAACTATAACGGCAGCGTCGTTCCCATACCCCAATTGTAAGACAATGAAATAAAAGGGTTATATTTCGAAACCTATCTATTCAATTCGCACGTTACAGTATATTCGTGCGATACGGTAACCCTGATACTCCTGATGTTCCGATGGTCATCTACGTAAATGCTTTAGCTGTTGTCATCGTCAACATCCTGATTGACATGTATGATATGACGCAGAGACGAAGCTTCTCTATATACTTGTTTGTATATACTGGGTAAACCCTTATGCATATAAAAATTTAAAGGTACAAGTACCCACATTGATCCACTTTGATCTAATTCTATATGTGTATAAAGACGATATACCGTGAAAAAGACGACAAAATACGTTTTCTTTACTGTACTCAAGTGTTGCTTTTAAATCCTTGAAAAAGAAGAAATTTTTAAAAACATGTCAGTGAAGCTGTTTTCTCTGGGCTGTATCAGTATTGAGTTGTATAGTAAATGCTAAAATTAAAACATACTCTATTTTGTATTGTTAGACTCAGTCTTCAAGTATGTGTTTTTAAATTTTCTTGTAGTTTTCTTTTTTCCATTTTTTTTATCCACAAAAAAATTGAAACGCCTTTTGGCGCGGAAAATCGCAGGGAAAGAGTGAAATGCATGAGGTAATCAATGAGTGTGCATCGAAGTACGTTTTTCCCCTGAGGAGGCAAAGGAAGCACAAATATCCGACATATATCCAAACGTAACGTCTACACTTATTACTGGCTATTACCAAATCATTTTCAGTAAAATTAATAAGAAAACTTAAAAAAATAGCATGTCTCTAGTGGAGCCTTGCACTACAACCTAGGTGGTGTCAAAAGCAAAAAAAATATTAACTGTTAAATGTGCCCATCCGGGAACACATAGTGGACAGACAGCCCAACTATAAGTTAAGCCGTAGCATATTGATCCACCTACAATATCTATATAGCTAGATATATCCAGAACATCATAATAGTTAAAAAAAAAAATACGTTTAGATGTAACCTACACATGTCCGTGAGAAATGCCTTCCAATTTTCTGACCTATTAATGGCAGCCTATAATTGGCTACGTTTGTTTAAAACTAATATATGAGCATTGCATATATATAAGTAGAGTGTCTTTGAATGTAAAAATTGTCGAAAGTAAATTACAGTCTAAGAGGGTACGGTTTCTGCAGTTGACCGATCTAAGCGAGACGATTTCGAAACAGGGATTAATCATCTGCTTTGTAATCACCTACATGCGTCACCATGGGGTCCTTCTTTCTCACTTCATCATAACCCCTTTCCCGTGGTCCTCTGTAGTTTTTTTATAAACAGATCGGAAAGCTTAGACTAAACGAGTATCATTATTACGCAGTCGTGCTGCCGCTTATCGTGCCCCAACTTGGTTTCTCGCTGAAGTGCGCGGTTCTTATCGATCACGCGTTACGTGCATGGACATGCACACACTGTTTACTGGACGCTAGATCTATCATCATCAATCCGCGCCCCAAAAAACAACTAAGACAGCTATCTCTGCTGTCACTCTTATTGTTGTCACGGCTAAATTTTCCATCGCAGGCTTACACATTCTTCGACACGCACCTCAAGTAACTAAAACTGAGGACCCTGTGATTCGAAATCATCGACACTACCTGTGAGCAACGCGGCTGCTATGCGTAAGTAAGTTACTTCGATAACTCTAACCTTTCTTTAGTACCGCTCGGTAATTTAATGGTTGAAATCAATCGAAGCCTATTTTAGCTACGAAGTGGTAAAGCCACGCAGCCTACTCTTACATAAAAATCTATTTCTAAGGGCTCGATTATTTGAATAGATATGCGTGTTTCGTACTACTACTACACTTGAGCAGCGTAATGCGTTGCTCGCCTATGTCCGGATACAAAATTCGACATTTTTTTAGGCATATGTCATACGCATTTTGCCGCCATTGCCGGGTCTGCTAAAATCGTCCGCAACGACGCACGCACTCACTCATTGTATGTTCTAGTTGTTGTTGTTGTTGGTGGTGTCATTGTTATTGTGCTTGTCGTAGGTTTTGTCTGTCGGATGATAACAATGGTAATGATGGTGGTGGCTAGTCGTTTGTATGGTCGTCTCGTCTGGTTCGCTTTTCTGTTGGCCTGCATCTTTGTTATGGCTTGGTTTATCGTTGTCATGTGTTCGCGCCTTCACTAGTTCATCGCTGTCGCTTGCGTAGTGGCGAGATGCCGACTGGTGGCGGTCGGCTACTGTGTTTTTGCGCGGTAGCCGCCGCCGCTGCTCTTCTCTGTTAGCGTCGCCGTCTATCGGCTGATGCTGCTTCTGCTCGAGCCTCCCTCTTTACCTCCCTCGCTCCCTCCCTCGCTCGTTGTGCTCCGGGCGCAGCTGTGCCTACACTGTTTCCGTTGATACGATCGCGGCTCTGTATTCTTCTGCTGCTGCCGCCGCCGCCGCCGCCTGCTGTTTGACGTATTTCGAGTTTAACGTACGGTACTGACGTTAGGCATTCCACCAGACGGTTAGCTCGAAGTGCGAAACGAGCGGTGTCAACACCCGGATTCGAATCCCGACCATCACGTCTGGGGGGCAGCAAGCAGCCGCCTACTATTTACTGTCCATCACCCAACCACCGTGATTTCATTAGCCAACAATAGCAAAAATACTAATCATAGAAGCAGTGGCGACGCATACTGGCCTAGCGGTGATCGTGGTGTTTGCCGGGGCTCACAGCAGTAAAGAACTGTCGCTTCTATAGCAGTAGCAACAACAACAATATTGCTACTGCTAACAGTACGACAACAATCAAAACTATAACAACACCGACAGTTTAAATGTAACGATTGGTGGTGGTATTACTGCTTTTACTACCATCCACGGCCGTCGGATGACTGATTCACTGTTGGCTGCTGCTGCTGCTGCTGCTGCTGACTGCTAATATTGTTTGTTTGTTGCTATTGCTGTTGGCAATGATGTCTCTGCTAACCCCCGTCGCCTGTCCCCAACTGCTAGCCTGTGTTCTGCAGTGATGATGATGGCAGTGACGGTGATATGTTGCTGATTGTTGTTGGTGTTGTTGTTGTTGTTGTTGCTGTTGTTGTTGTTGTCGTCGTCGTCGTCGTCGTCGTCGTCGTCTACTCTATGATAGTCATCATTACTGATAGTACGCAGTACTGTAACTAGAGCTAGTACTACTGCTAACGTTATGAGAATGATATGATGATACAATTATCGTGCTTGATTGTGCACAACCATCATTCAGCAAACGCTGAATAGCATAAACAGAGATGGTGGTAGTCAGTGACTGGTAATGGCGGTGGTCATTCTATTAGCGAGGCAGCAGCAGCAGCAGCAGCAGCAGCAGCGACAATAACAGCCGTAATAAGCGAAAATGCTTATGTGTTTCAAACGGTGAAAAAACAAGTTATGTACTAGTTGTTGTTATTGTTATTAGAGGTGATAGTAATCTACGAAAGAGCCTAAAAGACTCTCGATCCGTCGTCGCTTAGTTGATCAATGCCTGCTGCACCAATCGGAACTACAAGTGAGCTCGACCGACGGCCGGTCGCAAACGCTGCGACAGACGGTGAGTGAGTGGAAAAAGCAGAGCTTTCAATAGCAACGCGATCAGCACAACTTTTCTTTCATAACCCGTACACAGATTGTGGCAGAATGAATAAGATTCCCTTACATTTACAATCAAAATACGGCAAGGGTAAGCAAGCCAATGAAATGAAGCGAAATAGATTGACTATATGAAAAGCATATATAATAGCACATCTAGGTAGCACATGCGTATATCTCTTTTACTTTGTAAATTATTCCCTAAGGCTAATATCGGTCGATTTTACTGTTAAATCTACGACAGCAGCAGCAGCAGCACAGCTGCAGAAAGGACGCTTACGTTGTTCTGTACTACTGTTTCGCCCGTCTGGTCTTCAGTCTATCGACGTTGTTGCTCCAGCTGTTTTTTTGTTGTTTTTAATTTTTATGACTGCTGATGCTGTTGCCGCCGCTGCTGGTGACGGTACCGTTACACAATCGACTAGAGGAAACACACAACAAAAGAAACTAACACCTCAATGCTATCGTTGTCATAAACAACAGCACAATAGACACAGCAGCGCCACTGCCAGCCTGCCTGCCTACTTGCCTGCCTGCTAGTGCTGATTTAGGTTATCGCAACAGATTTCGCAAATTACTCTTGACTAGTTTTATTCTATTACATATCATCATCCGTCTGCGATCCAGTGATATTGATTTAGTTGCCTGCATCGATGTAACGATCATATATGCCATTTAGGAAAAGTCTGACGATTATTTGCTAATCTGTTGACTTTGGAAATTTGAATGAGAACGAAGGACAGCGACAGTGGAAGGATCGATGAAATCTTGGAACCGACTTTTGAGTGTCACGCTACAATTCTACGGGTATACGTGCTGCTTCAATGGTTATTGTCCTCAGTCGCACTGGAACTCAGGCGATGAACGTGTTTTCTGGACGATTGGTTCGCTGCGTTAGTCGGGACGATCTTCTTATTGTCATTGTGGTATCGCATAAGGAAAATTACATGCCCAGGAGATACATACAGATATCTACCCGGCCGCGTAGCTGTTACTTAGAGTTAACATGGATAATGTCCAGTTGACAAATCAGAACGACGTTGAAAACACAGATTGAAAAAATGAAATTGAGGTGGTGGGTCGGTTGATGTTCGTCGACTGAGACAGCCCAGTGCAACTGATCCGAGCCGATTCCAAGTCATCACTAATAACAACAATAATAATAATAATGAAAGTAATAGTTTATACAAATGAAGTTAAAGGATGAAGAAAAGAAAAATAAAAGCGTAAAACTAAATTACGATGCCGGAGAAGGGGTTTCTGCAGAAAGTGAGACAAAACCTTGAACAAGAATCAAGCTAATAATTGCACAGGAACTCATAGAGTATGTAAAATTACCGAATAGAGGGAAAAAACGCCAACGAGAATGGTATCGGCATGGAAGTATGTGTTTACATTATATTCGACATTGTTATTTCATCTTATACCAGATGAACGTAATCGTTTCCCGAATGGATTGATTGCGCGCCTGAATTACTATGCGGGTGTGATAGTAACGATTTCCTATGGTGATCCGACGACGACAACGACAACGACAACAAATTAACAAAACTCTTGTAATCTTCATCATTTGAAAGGGACAGAAAAATAGCCAACGTTTGTTAAAGTATTCCGCATAAAAAAGCGCAGTATTAATAAACCATGCATTGGGATAAGTGTGAAAAGGTGAAAATTGCATTACGTAAACAGTTTAGTAGAGCGTGAACAAACAACGGTGGCCATTTATGCTATAAGCACAAGTTAATTTATCTATTTTGATTGTGCAGAAACGCGTTCCCTTAAGACAATATTCATATCAGGCCAGTATCTTTAAAATGTTTCCATTAGTCTCAAATGATCACGACCCAATGATTTAACAGGTGGAACCATTTGAAGACTCCCCGGTAATTTGATCAACGCATGCAAAATTTTTTTAACGTACCTTTTGCATTCGCATTTTTCATTTCGCCTCCTATACAGGTAGCTGCTTAATGACAGTATGTCGTATTTACGGGATTATATTGAGCAAAGAAAACTTCATAATAAAATAGCGATTCTAGAAGATGCAAACATGATCTTTAATTTTAAACATTCAGCTCTTTCGTGGAATTCTACATCGAAATGAGTCGTCGTCGTCATCGTCGCCGTCGAAATATTTGGCTTTAAGTAAAGAATAGAGAAAACGTGTCCTTGTAGCGCTTGTTCTAGCAAAAATAATGTTCTGCAGTCAATGGCCGTTTTGACCATTGAATTTTGGGACCTTTAAACTCACAGATTGAAAAAAAAATCGAAGTAAACTCTTGTCTTTCATTTTTGTTTACTTGTTTTTACAATTTACCACTTAATACATTTATTTTCTATTTAGGTTTATTTAAAGCGCAGAATCACCTACAAAAATAGCGCGATTTATATGAATGCTGGCTTGAATGAGGGAAGCAAACTATGGACATTAGGGAAAAATACAGTTGCTGGAGTAGTCTAAAGACACGGCTTGACAATGCTTACAAAATGTGTTTTGCTTTTTTCAGTTGTCGCATAACAAAGACAGGTAACGGAATCGATATTGATGATAGGGGTGATCCTATGTCGTCCTAAGCACACGCTGTGAAATTTGGAAATGATGTACGGACGTTCGGTAGAGGTAAAAATTGAGCTCGGCCATAAGGCCGTGCTTAAGGACCAGCCTACGGCTGAGGGCTATACGCATGACTGGACCGTGTTCGTCAAAGGGCCTGAGGGGTGCAAAATCGATAATTTTGTCGAGAAGGTGATATTTATGTTACATGAAAGCTTTCCGAAGTCAAAAAGAACAATTCGCGAACCGCCTTATCAGGTTAGTTTTGACGGGACTTTTTAATCGCAATGCATACGATTATACATGCGACAATATTTATTAAGCACCAACTATTGAACTGAAGCGTACTTTTTGAAAGATGTGCTGCTTGTTAGCTTCTGATCTCACGTAAGTAAAAACTAATGCTAACATCTACACAACACTTGTTCTTCGTCTTTTTGTGATCGTTATTTTAGGTAACAGAAAGCGGTTATGCTGGTTTCAACATGCCGATCTGGGTGTACTTTAAGACGCGGGAAGAGCCAAAAAAAATCGATTTCGTTTACGATCTCTATCTGTCGCTAGACGGCAAGCCAATTAACAATATCCGATGTGAGAAGCTTACTTTCCACAATCCACCGGATGACTTCTGCCAAAGGTTGCTGAAAGGAGGCGGTTCTATCAAGCAACCAGTCGCATCACCCAACAAGAAGTCATCAGGACCCCAGACGCCTCCAGAGAAACGCTCCCCCCAGCAACCGCAAACCCAACCGGCGGGAGCGGCGGCCAAGCCATCCTCGGATCTATTTGGAGGGTCTAATGCTAAAGATATCAAAGTAAGGTTAATTATTTAACATTGGTAGTGATTATCATCCTAATCACGTGTGGCCGAACATAGGACAAATCGTATGTCCCCTGGCCCATTGTCACTTAATACGAGAGAGCTACTGTTTAATTTTGTTCTTTTAAAGGGCAAATTCTATTACACTTCAATGATCGTGAAAGACTTTGCAGCTGTGGAAGGCATGCTATCTGTATCAGGCACATGTACAAAAGGAGCTAATAGTCATATAAGTACTAATACTTTGCATATATATATTTGTAAAGTACAGTTTCACTAAATACGTTTGATTTAGTTTTCACTAGTCGGCATCACCCACGTTAACAATGCTTTGCAAACCCGATTGCTGCCAGTCTGTTTGTTTGTCTTTCTGTAAATTTAGTCTGGTACAGCTCCAGCACAGGATGGCAAGAAAGAGAAGAAAAAAGAGAAGCGCAGCAAAGATTACAAAAAAGAAAAAAAAGATAAAGATGGACGAAGTCGATCGGATAAGGACAAAGAGGCGGCGCCGTCTTCTCGTGAGGAGAAGACAACTAGCAAGGAGAAGGAACGTGACAAGGAGAGTAGTAAAAGCGAGAAAGAACGTGATAAGGCTGAGACGAAAGCCGATCAAGAACGTGACTCAAAGTTAAAAGAAAATACCAAGGATAAAGAACGAACCTCTGGTAAGGAGTCGAAGGACAAAGAGGCTACAGCTAAACAAAAAGAAGGCAGCAGCAGCAGCAGCAGCAGCAAAAAATTAGCATCAGTACGGTCAAGCCAGTCGCCGCCAATGGTAAATTGCCACCCTTTCCTAAACGGCACATATTTTAGTGACACATGTGGATACGCAGGTTTTGCCTTTTTTCATGTAGCCAATCAGTTTCCTCTCATTATAGAAAGGGTTCCTTATCTACGATTTTGGTGCACATTTCCCATAACCCTACCTAGTTCGGTGCAATTTCTTTTATTATCTGCACCTTACGTGGGGCCTTTCCTGTCTTCACTGATTATGTGATTTTAATTTAGGCAGCGGATATGAAAAAAGATGACACAAAGAATCGAGAAGATCGGAAACGTCCTGCAGGCATCAGTCCTAGCGAAGGTAGCGGTGAACGCGACCGAGAGAAGACTAACAACGATGACAAAGAAGTTAAACGGAAGAAGAAGTCATCGTCTCATAAAGATTCGCCCGACGCAAAAAAGCCTCGCCTCACCCAAGATCAGCTTACATCAGGGTCGAGCGAATCGCTGAAATCGAAACGTAGTAAATCTCGAGGCAAGGAGTCGCTTGCCTCTTCTCCGTTTGTCGAGAGCAACGATGATATGGAACTATCGTTCACACCGTCGCCCCCCGAGTCTAAAAGCGCTCTACGTCCACCGTCTGATCGGAAGCGATCTGCGCCGAAGGACAAAAGTGCTAGTCCTACTGAGCGTAAAGAGGTTCGGCCACCTCCACCTCCAACGTCACGATCAAAGAAAGCAGCTGCAACACCATCATCATCCTCAAGTCCATCGCCAATGCACTCAGTTTCAGCCCCAACCAACAGCAGTAACAGGAAAAAATCACCAAATAAGCAATCCGCCCAACAGCAGCAGCAGCAGCCGATAGGAGCCTTGGCAGCCATGATGATGGAGATGGATGCCGAGAGTGTTTCGTCGCCAGAACCCGATGATCGGCGACGGGATAAGCTTAGTGTGCTGAAAGTAAAAATTTTAAAATTGAGCGATGAAAAACTTCAGCAGGTCGTTGACATTATTGAGATGACAGGAAAGTATGAGTTGAGCAATGAAAGCTTTGATTTTGACTTACAACAAATTGACAATCTCACAATTAATCGACTTCAACAGCTCGTGAGCTGACAACATGGCGAGCACTCTAGTAACAAAAAAAAACAACTAAATAACAATTCCATTTAGTTCAAATGTCAATTATATACAGGTAGTGTCAGTCAAATCATTTATTGTACATTAACTGTTGCTCGATTACAATCTAACGGATTTTAAGGGTTGTAATATAAACCGGTGTGGATCTTGATGGAGATCGATGAGTTCGGTAGTTTTCGATTCAGTTGTGGATGCGGCTTTTCCAAAATCAAAGAATGAGCGATCGTAGGAAAACGAATAGCCAAGAAGAAAATGTCAGTTAAGAGTAGGCTAATAGACGATACGTTACGTGTGCTATCTTGTCGAGCATGCGCCAGCGCAACAAGTAGCACACTTTTTCGGTCTCATTTAGAGAAAAAAACTACCCGAACTTAAAAGATGTTTTAATGTGCATATCATTGATGAGCTTTCTTCAGGGCTAATGAAGACAGCCTCCTAGGATCAGTAAACGTGTCCCTGTAACGCGGACAGCAAACAATGGTGAGCACGCTGTTTGTGTGAAACGTAAGCCAAGACGCGCCTGAGAATGAAAGTACTATCGACTTGACTAGTAAAAGGAGAACAAAAGAGAATTATTCAAGCAATACAAATCAGATAAACTAAGGGCAGGCTTAATTCTCGCAAGCAGCACCTACGAAATAAACACATTGGTGATTGTTAGGCACCTAGTAATGCCGCGATACTAACCGTTGTTTCTTATATTTCAAAATGGTATCTCTTTGTGAAGGACAATTTTGGGAAGCCACCTACGGAGCTCGGCCATATTTAAGAAAACTGTCAAAATTCAGAAGGAAAGTCAAAAAAAGGGGTGCCGCTCTGGCCAAATAAGCCTAGAGTTTACTGTGCCTCCTTGTTATATTCCTTTACCTAGACAAAATCGGTTGTGACAAATCGATTGCCAAAAGTGAAATAATGAATAGGAGTGGTAAACCGGTTGAGAAGTCTCCTTTAAATCTCTTTTTGAGCATTCATTAGTTAAAGATGCTGGGTGCGATTGCCATACTGTCTTTTTTCTCGACCGAGATGTGTTCTCTGCGCAATATTTAATCACTTATATATACATATGCCCACCTTAGTTCTAGTTCTGGTCTCCCTATGAATCTTGACACAAGTCCATCTAGAAGGCCATCGCTTCGCATACGAAAGCTTACCTGGCTGACCGTTGGTTTCTCTTATTAGACTGCACACCCGATTCATTTCGATAGACCACTGTTCAAGCCATGTGATGAGTGGGAAATTAATTGTTGAAAAAGAATGTAGCTTTTCAAAGAGCGTCTCGTCTTTGTCAGCCAGTAAGGGCAGGGCTGATCTTGCCAATTCCGATGCATTCGTCATTATATACGTGCTGACAATAGTCATGCAACTATTTCCATATGACTCTGTCTGCTACTTGTATTTTCCGTTAGCTGTGTATGCTACACATTTTAGTCAATAGATGTATGTAAGGCCTACATCAAGGCCGTAATTATCTTGCTATTGCAACAACGGCTACTATACTTTAAATATGCCGCTTTGTTATAATAATGGTGAGAATATGTGATTGCCTGTATAATAACAATGACACCTATGATAACGCATATATACTGTATGTGTGTAAGGAGACGTCGCATGTAAACAATCTTTATCTATATATATATATATATATATATATATATATATATTAGGACAATGGTAGGTCATCTCCCGTGACTACGCAACAATTGTCACTAGAAATAGCTTAAACTGAGGGGAGTTTGTCAGATCCATTGTAAAAACAAGCTCACCTAACAGAGGGGTTTCGACTATCTGGTATTAGTAACCCAGGATAGTTGGCGTTAGGTAATTTTTTTCTGAGGGACTCATTTTTGCCACCATTTCTCAGCTGCGCCTATGAACCCTACATGTCTCTTGCCTCCTATTTAGCAGCTCTCGTTAATCGATCTGGTGATCGAGCTTTACATACTAGAAATACCTCCAAAAGTGTATTTTCACTAAAAGCAAAAAGGTTTAACATACGTGAGCATAAGTAATTACTCTTCACTGTACTATTTGGCCTATCTCTCTACAATCCTTACAAGTTCGACTTGCGTTGTGCCGTCGGAGCAGTTGACAAATCGATACGTGAAGAAAGCCCAATACCACACGCGCCTGTTATATGAATATATTATTATCATGCAGTAAATAAACAATATTCTATAAGCTAGCTCCATTCTCAACTAAAACTAATTGATCGATACAATGGCTGGCTGCGTTTGCAAAGAGATACGTTGTTGCGGAACTACGAACGTCTAACTGCATCTGTGCGTTTGAGTGTGCGTGGACATGTGTCAATGTATTTCATGTCCTTCAATGTCAACAGTGTCTCTCTGCGTAGCCGAACATGTTTGGCGTCAGCAGCAGGATATATGCAGATTAAAGACAGGCCACGCAGAAGGAGCGCAGAGCTTTCCCCTACAGCAGTTGCAGATTGGGAACAGGTAGCTCTGAGTCAATGCAATTCAGAGGGCGAAACAAAACTGCTACCTAAAAATACAAAGCCATTAGCTTTTGTTGGATTCAAGAAGGAGGAAGCGGCATAATGCAGTGGCATCGTCCTCTATAGCTCAACGTCGGTCATAAACTAACAGCGGTGCGTGTGCTGTTATTGTAAATCACTTACAGAGAATGGGTAAAGAGCGCAATAACATAGCACCAAGTAACAGGCATTTCGATGTGTACTAGAAAATCGGTTTACGGTGGGTCGTCTTAGTCATCATTTTCTGTAACATGGACTGATAAGTACCTGTTCTGTCGCATGTTTCTCAGAGACATTATCGTACTAATAAACCTATAGCGTATACATAAAGTATCCCAGTGTGACTTGTAGCTACGAATCAAACACACTTGATCAATTTGATGCAAATACAAATTACTATTTATTATCAACACAATTATCCTGCCATTACTAAGAGGAATGGAACATACGTATTATCTTTATTTGACTATATCAATTTATACATATGGATAACAGTGCAAAATAGGATGACGGTTCGAACAAGTTGAAAAAGGAAGAGAGGGTCGTAGAAGGCAGATCTCGAGAGACTGCTAATACATACAAACCGCAGTTTCATTACAACAATTCATTTTATAACTTTTTTGCCGTAAATGGTACATAGTATTTAATGTAATAAAAAAAAAACAATGTTGTCACTGCGAACTTATCGACGGCTGGTAATTATTTCTAGGTAGAATGCATTTGAATACTGTTTTTCAGAACTGCGTACGACAGCGTCAAACAACAGATAGGAAAGAAGAAAAAAAAAAAACGAGTAAAACTCAATATGAAATACATCTGCCTGAATGCTTCCATACATATTGTGGTTCAGTTTTTCTAATTCTTGTTCGTCTTTTATTGTGTTCATGATACGGGCATACAAGAATTTGAAGCGTCGACTCCTTTTACCAGCGCGTTTCTTTACATGGCTTTACGAAATAGCTGTTTTGTGTTACTCTATATGATTTTTTTCCGGTTTATGTGAACGTGATTGTTAGATTGGTTAAGATACAATAATCTGCTGGTATCGATTTTCTCTACAGGGAATTTTTTCGGTAGTGTCGTATCCGCCTAACACTTGTTCTGTTATCGACCGTGTGCAGAATGCATGTGTGCAAGGTGTACTTTTAGTAAAGTACACCTTAACTACTAACATGGAATGGAATACATTTTATGTTAAGAGAAAGTCGCTAGAATGTAGAAGTAAAAAGTATTTTGGAGAAACGCCGTCGTTTATGAGTAAGTATCGTTTGAGCTAACTCATAACGTTGTTCCGGACGGAGCTTTTAGGTTTCGGACATACGCAATCAATAATGATATCATACATCAATTAAAGTTATAATGAGATGGATTTTTTAAGAAAGTTCAAATTATTAGAACGGTGCTTATATGCATACTTTCTTAACTAGGTATGTATTTTATGTATTCGTCTCAAGGGTCATGCAGCAAACGGTTTTAACTTTAAGTTTGAGTCACTTCCGCAGCTTTCAACATACTGACCCATTTTAAAGGCGCACACTATCTAACTTCTCAACACGCGCTAAAGAAGGCGTATCCTTTCTAAGCAAATTGCTCAGTTGTATTATTTTACATAGTCCAAGCTGTGTTAGGTAAACATCCGAAAATAATTTAAAGACATATAAATAAATGAAAATAATAAAAACACTTGATCTCTAAAACGGCACTAATGTTTCTTAGGATGCATGCAACGATGGTTCGAGCGCAAGTGCACCTTCCCCTGAGCGATTCGACGGTTGCTGGGCGCGTTACGAGGTCGTTGCCAGGCAACCTGGAGCTCTCCGGAGATGGGAAGCCCAATAGCAGGGCTAGTATTACCCAGTCAGCCCGTTTTTTATAATATTCGTGTAGTTTATTTAGTACGATTACATGAACGAAATAGCAACACTACAGTTTTGCTTAATTCATATAATTTTAATGCATTCAGAGAGAAGTAACGGCACACGTGTTCCACTAATTGTGATTAGCGCGAGTTCGTTATTGAACGTCATTAATAAGTTCCTTATATTATATTATGTATATGTAAATATTAACTACATTACTAAAACAACGCACTTGAAACGCATGTCAATAAAGGAGTAAAGGCAAAAAAATCAAAATAGACTTAAACAATACATTAAAATTTACGGTTGATTGCTTACGTTTTTAATAAATTCGACATTTCAAAATACAATACTCGACGGGCGATTATTTGAGGAGGATTCAATGCTTTTGAGGACCTTAATCTGCTCGTATTTCTGTGTGTTTTCATTGTTCATTTTAGGATAAGGATATTCGAAATTAATAGGCTCAAGGTGCCATTCCCAGTATTTATTCGTAAGGTGCTCATTGGTCTCACTTGCTCTTTAGATAGGATATTCAGGATTTATTTAGTAATAAATAGCGTTTACGAGGTATGTTTGACATATATCGTATATTGCAATTATATTATCGATCGATCATCAATCATTCACTACCACACCTTTATATGGGACAATTCGTATCAATCATATAAGAAAGAATATTTCGATTCGTAACGACAGGTTGTGCATTCAGAGCTGATGGGTGTGCGGATCGGAATTTGGGAAAAGATATGCGCCGCCCGGGAATCGAACCCGGGACGCAAGAATGGGAATCTTGCATGATACCACTACACCAGCGGCGCCCTACGTCCTATGGGTTCTCCGAAGCGGTGGTCTATTTGGTACTCGGCTGTATTCAACACAAGCGTGTTTTGCTAACAGCTCGCCCTTTCCTGAATGCCCTTTCCCCTTGATGTTGCATAACATTAAGGAAGTCTGCTAACGAAGTCTGCGAAGTCAAAATGATAGCGAGCAGTATTTCATTTATTTACAGTTATGTACAGTTATTTACTTCTATCGAGTTACATTTGACATTTTTAACATAATTGATCTGAGAAATAATTAGTTAGGGAGTCTATGAGCGCTAGATTCTGATGCAGTGTTCGTGGCGGTCGTCTTCAGAAAGCTGTTACCTGTAAAGCGACCAATAGAAATTGAAAATATCTGTCAATGAGTAATGGTTTCCATTTTATTTGTCTGCACTCAAGAATGTACAGGCATTTTACATGCATTTAAATGTCTTGTTCTCAAAATTAAGCGAGTATCCCTTGATCAGTGGTGGTATCAAACTGACGTATTGTGGCTGATCGCTGACACATCTGCCGCCATGACAAACACTCGGCGGCTAGGTCAGTCATAGAGAGCCTTACTTTGTATTAAAGGTTAGGATGACAGGAAAATGCTACATTCAGCAAAAAGAGGAAAATGGTACGGTAATTTGAGACACACCTTGAAGCATTTGTTACTATAATGAGTTATAGTTTAATTTGATATCAAAGAAGTGACTTACCTGCCAAATCATATATATATATATATATATATGTCATAGTTTGGCTATTCTTGATAGACTTCCGTTATGGTTTACATCGTGGTAGAATGTTAGGGTTTTATTTAGCCACCTTAGTCATGTAGTCAATGCCCTTGACGGAGCCTGAATCAGCTTTGAATAGCCTTGTAAGAAACAAAACTTATTTTTTTAGTACTATTTATTAGTTTCCTATTACCATACATTTGGTTTCCACATCGCTTATGTTGGCGTTTCACATGATCAACAAACTATAATAATAAAGTGTTTAACAACAAAACAGAATGACGCAATTAGCTGTAATTTAAAAAGGGCCTTATGTTTAAACGTTAGCAAAAAAAAAGAAGATGCATTAAAGGCCGAGTGTACTTCACCTTTCTAAATATTATTTTCTGTGTGACACGACGCTTTCTACAAGTAAGTCCTCAGTGAATATTTTTTAAGTTGAGTTCTCGTGAAATTGCGTTGCAAATCTGTTCTATTTTTCGCCTGGAAAACAATGAGTCTTACAGTAGTTACCTGTTCCATGGTAAGGAACAAATCATCATTTTTCAATAACGGACCCGTCAAAGTGTATCGACGCTTTCGTCTTTAACAGGACATCCCAACTGTTCGCACAAAACATAGTCGTTGCGTTTATAGCTCTCGCGTTTGCTGGCTGCGCGGCGAGCTGGCTTGACATTCAATATTGATCAATATTCTCAGCCTCTTCATTCCATTCGAGCTCATTATCCCTGTAAATTGATTCATTTGGACGTACCCTTTGTTAGTTAACACTTAATAACATTTGATAGTCGGATTCAAATCATAGAAGTCTACGTCGACACAAGGAGAAGGATATGGCATATTCAACCCAAAATGAAAGAAAACATATAAAGTACACCAAGAGGTAATTATTTTCTACAAATGTGTCGTTGTTGTTGTGTTTTTAACACAAAGGCCTATTCAGCCTTTACCATAAGTTTACAGCCGTCATCACGTTCGGCGAACAAAGAACGAACGCCTTTCATTGGCCATACTTTTTTGCGCAGACAACAATTGACACTGCTGTGCATAGCATAGGCCTGGCTTATAAGCCCGAGTCGGTTTCGACGGCGAGCTGAGTTGGATGGTGGCGTCGTCAACGTGGATGGATCCAGCGTTCCTATGTCATCTTTACGCAGTTTGGCGCATTGTTTGATTTTTCTAATGGAACAAAGGCGGTACAACGGTTATTTGTTCGATGAAAGTGACTCCTATTGGAAAACTCTTCCGCAGAGATACCGGAATATAGCATTAACTTGTTTACCAATGGCAATAAGCCAATGCAAAGCAAATTACTGTGAAAATATATGTTTAAAAGTATCAGCATTCTTACTTGTTGTCAGATCTTTGTCCACAGAGATGATAATTTTGCAAAAACACTTGATACCTATCGAAGGTTCGACACGTTAAAATTCTCAGAGGACATCTTTATCTCAATGCATCACCCTAGCAGGGGCAGCAGTGCTAGTGAGAATGTGTCAGCTGAATCACGCATTTGTATCGCACTCTCTATTACTGCCTGTGTCATTCTGGTATTTAAAGCGGCGCTTAATCCGCCTAGAAGCTCTGCCAAGAGACATAACGGGGCAGGGAGTATTTTAACAATGTAATAGCTCATTGCAATAGCCGCATTTGCCGCTCTAACGATAGGCGTTGCATGGAAGCGTAACCTCGTATAGTTTCTAGAGAGAATGACTATAAACTCGCCATATGTTCTGCATACTGTTTTGTGCTATATGTTGATAATTTTGCAAGGATATGTTACGTGTCTGGAGCGTGAGTTGCTGTCTTATGATGTACTGAAAAACTTCACCGTGAGAACGGGTCGATCGATTGATGAACAGTTCGTTAGGGCCAATGACGACAACAACGACGACGACGATAAACAAACGGTGTTTATCAGCTTTGAATCGTACGGGAGGCTGTTTACCGTGAAAGCGCATCCCGCACGTCATTTATTCAGTAAGGATTTCCGGCTATACGAACGAGGTCGAAACGGTATCGTTCGAGAACACAAAGTGAATTTTAACGAAATGCATAAACGCTACCTTGAAGGGAAGGTTTTGGATGAGCCCAACTCGCGTGCAGTACTCTATTTTGACGGTGAAGTCCTTGCCGGCAGCATCTATCTCACGGACGAGGTATACACAATTGAGGAGGCCTTTCTTCGCGAGATAAAGTCACCACTTGGAAGAACGTTTGCCGCTTCACTTCACATAATCTACAAAGATTCGGAAATCAATGGGATGCGAAATGCAACTAGTTGTACCCTAGCCAAGGATCGTCTCCGGAGAGGTGGATTCTATTTGATGGACGAGGAACATTCGGTAGGAAAGGACTTCTCGCCGGAACTAAATCGATGCGGGATCAGGTTGATTGCCGATCACACATATTTTCAAATTGTTGGGCAAGGCAGCATAGGTAAGACCATTGACAAAATGGTCACCCAGATTCAGCGAGTGAACGTTATATTCAACGAAACTGAATTTGTTGACGATGATCATAACGGATACTTCAACATGGGCTTTTTAGTGCAGGACGTTCAAGTTCTCACAGAGCCAACGCCAAACAGTAGTGGAAAAATCCACTTTAATATGGCCGGAGAAATCAGCGCAGAAGACCTGCTACAGTCGTTTGCCGAAGAGGAAGCGCAGGAGAATGAATGGGCGTGTCTAGCACATCTTTTCACAGCTCGAAATCTCGATGATGGCGTATTGGGCCGCGCTTTTCTCGGTCACACAACAGCAGAACGAGGTATTTGTGCACGGCCTGTTCTTGCAAATTCCACGGACGGCCAACGAAAAGTGCGTATCGTGCAGAACGTTGGATTGACGACATCGATCATAATGGGGTCTCGCCTCCTTAGCCGAGTCTCTGACATCGCTTTAGCTCATGAATTAGCTCACGGCTGGGGCGCCGAACACGATCCCGACACGACGGAGTGTCTCCCGCCAGACGCGCGTGGAGGTGCATACATAATGAATGCCCACTCAAACACTGGACGCAACAATAACAACCGATTGTTCTCTCCGTGTAGTATTCGGCAGATTATGCTCGTGCTGAAGTACAAATCGAAATGCTTCATCAAACGCTTACCGAGCCGCTGTGGAAACTTCATCATCGACGACGGAGAGGAATGCGACGTGGGGCCAATCAAAGACAACGACCCATGTTGTACGCGGTCTTGCCGGTTGCGCGACAACGTCCGTTGTAGCGATCAAAACCACAGCTGCTGTAAGAATTGCCAGCTGGCACCTGAAGGAACTTTATGTAAATCACGTTTGCCAAACGATTGTATGGACGATTCGTTCTGTTCCGGTGAAACAGAACGCTGTCCGCGCCAAAAGCCGCTTCCTGACAATACAACGTGTTCGGATCGAGGCACCTGTAGCTCAGGACAGTGTATCCTTTACTGCCAGTCGATTGGGTTAACGTCTTGTGCATGTGAGGGCGATCTTGCATGTTACCGTTGCTGTCGGGAATCCCTCTTTGATGCGTGTAATCCAGTAGTACCGGCAGATAGATTGCCCGACGGAACAATGTGTAAGGATGGGTTCTGTAGGGAAGGACGGTGCAAGAAGAAGGTACAGGACGTTGTCGAGCGATTGATCGGGATAATCAAAAAGGCCAATCCATCTTGGATAAAAACAATCCTTCGCGCGTATTCGGTTCCATTGATCATCGTGTCTCTATCCATGGTCTGGATTCCTTGTGCTGTCTGTTTACATTACTACAAAAAAGAGACATACAGCTTCAGATCAATGCCAGCAGCGCGAAGCTCAATGATCCCTTCCAGAGGGTCAATGGCACTCTTGAATTCGCATCGAAGTTCTGCTTATGTTGGTGAAATGGAGTATGAGCCTCGACCAGGAAGAACGTTTATGTTTTCTGATGACTAAAGTTTGCCTATACGTACGTTCCATGTGGCATGAAGCTGCACTGCAAGTTAACGATGCAAGTTAATGACAGTACATTAGCTGTTGTTTGTGGAAGAGTTGTGGTGGTTTTCCCACATAGGCACGTTTTAGGCTATGTGCCACTTGTGCTATTCATAATATCGGTTCATTTATTTATAATCGCTAATGATAAGTAAGGTGCGTATAAATGCAGCGAAACGTCTCGACGATAGATATGATATTGTGAAAACTGTCTCAGTATAAACGTATCTATTGAGAATATAGAGACATAATTTATTGAACGCCGTAACTGCGCAGCTGTAACTAGGACCTGTAAAAATGTCACATTTACGATGCCTTACGGCAGTCCCAAGCCATGACTGTTTCGTATCAAGCTAGGCTCTTCTTTGTGTGTCAATATAAAGCATTTGTACATTCAGTTATGGTTTATAAGTCCCAATAAATACATGTGAAAAGCCTTGTAAATTTTGGTATGGTAAAGGTATGACCGGCGTTGCTGTTGGTTTGTTCGAGGCAGATCGAGTGTTATACCCTTACCAGACAGACAAATCTTCATATGTTATTTATGCTTTTATCTAAGAATTAGCTATATAATGAAGAGTTATGATACGTTCGAATGATTTCGATAAACACACGCGCCCTAAGAGCAACTTAATAAAAAAAAGGAGAAAAGAGGCGAGGCCGATACGAAATGCGTAACGAGAAACGGATTTATGTCAGTGATATATTTTCAGCTGAGCTTGCCGCTGTCGGCCTCGAACACTTTGTTTCTAATGATAAATCCTCTTAACGAATGATCGGACAAAGAGTATTTATATCTCGATTTCTATAAAAATGGTGAATCATTATAGATATTTTTATTGTAATGGACATAATACTGGTGCAAGGTATTCACTTTTACTGCGCGCAGGCGGCGCACAATGCTCTATAATTTCGAAATATGGACACATAAAAGCAAGTCAATTATCATTTGTCACTGATGGTATCAATATATAGAGATATATATAGATGATCATATTCCCTAGATTGTCTAGTTCAACGACACCTTTCTGATTTCATTGTATAGTTCACCATTATTACCATAGTTTAGCCAAAATTTTAGGTAAACCTTCCATCTAAAATAGATGATTCAAATTTTACGTCCCATGCCACCGCCTTAGTCAACCATTGCTTCACAAGATTGAATTTTTCTAGCTTTCAACAAGGAGCATCTGCACTCGTATTTAAACCTAGACCATCTAAAACCATTGCTACGGCTTACAAATATCTTGTTGAAGAGACAACAGGGTTTAGTTTGTAGAAGTGCACTGAAATGGAAAGACAATAACATACAGGTAGAATTATAAAGGCAAAGTATTAATTAGAAAGGCCAAGTTGGATGGTAAGGTAATTTTATAGCGAAGTGTGGCCCCACGAGGCGCCTATCGCTGAAATTTTCTGATTTGAACCTATAACTTTAATAGGATCATCTGTTTAACATCTGTACTTGATATATACAGATGCATAGGTACAGATGAACATTTAGAAATTTCTTGACATAATCATTGTTGTCAGTCATATATTCTATATGCCTGGTTAGCACAGCTTTTATCAATACCAAACGAAAGTATTAATTATGTTAAGTCGACAGCATATTTAATTTTAGAAGAATATGTCTTGTCGCGGGGCTCAAATCTACCTATTCTGACTTTTTACAAAGGAAAATCGTTGGTTGCAGATTATCGCAGGCATTTTATACTATTCCTGTGAAGTAGCCTCTTATGATGTTCGAATAGTAGGCCTTTCGTACTCGTGTCTAAAATGTAAGTTCTTCATTCATCTTTTATATGCTCTCACATTATGTAAATTTAGGACCAGTCATACACGAAGTGAGACACTCGTTTTTATATCTGCTTCATTTCATACTTAGTTGTGTGTGAAGTTCGTCAGAAATGTTATATCGCGCTTCAACTATCGCGTGTAGGTTTCATTTTTCAAGTAATTAACCAAACTTCCTACCCCTCTCCTTGTATTTCTAATTGTTCCACAAGTGCAGCGTAAATGACTGAATTCAATTACTATCAATAGAATTTTCTATTACATTTATATGGTTAAATAATTCTGCTAAAGAAATAGTTAATGTTAGCGTATACGTGAAAAAGTTTATAAAACATACCCAAGTAATAGGTTTGGGTAGGTCATTCCGACCCTAGAAAGCTGGTGCATAACATGTCCATGGGTCAGAATTACGCTTTACCGGCCCTTCCTCGCGTCCGCATGACTGCTGTCTGAGACAATGGGAGCGTACTGGTCGGCCGTTAATTGGATTCTTTCCTTTATAGTTTTCAGAAATATCGTAGGGCTTTAGATACTTTTAGTCGGTCATTGACGCAACCTCATAGACAAAAAGTCTATGAGAAAAAACGAATTCAATTGGCTAACGTACTGGAAATCTTCCTAGGAAATCGTTAGGTAAAGTTTCCTAACATAAAACCTTTCATATATCAAGTATCGGGTCAGTGAACAATCAGAACTGACAGAAGAAAACTAAAGCCCGTATATTTGTGCGATATATACTTAGTGCTGTCACTGTAGTGTTTTCACTTTTTCTAGCAGTTGTTTCGTGTAGATATGTGCCTCACTGTTGGCATTTGAAAAAAAAAACTATGACTTCACGTTATTTACGCTTATTAACAACTTAAAATAGTCGCTTTTTTTTTTGTGGTTAAACGTATTATCGGTATCTACATCGGAATTACGTGCTTAACTCTCTCTCTATAATGATGCTATTTTACGGCTTCATACCTAGTCTTGTTAGCATTTCCACTACTATAGCAACGAGGTGTCGTCGTTGTGTGTAACTGCTACCTTTTTTTATAGCGAGTCCTTTCAATATAGTTTAGCATCTATGTATTTGCTCTCGCCTCTTGTTTGATTCTCAAGGGCAAAGATGAAGGCTGAACGGAGGACTAGATCAGATGTGAACCGAAATATCTGCGAAGCCAAATATCGTCCCTTATTTTAAGATCTTTAGTTTTTTGATCATGGCAAACGCCGCTGAGCGTAAGGAAAAGGCACCCGACGATCGAGATGATATAAAGCGAGCCTTCGGAACACATGCTAGATCAACCGGTGTTATTAGTTGACTAAAAAAAAAACGTTAAACGATCAAGGTTCGGCAAATGCGACGCTGTACCAAAGCAACCTGCAATGCAAATAGTTAAATTCATCCAACGTTGAAAGATTCAATCAGTTTTTATTGGTTTTTATGTTTGCTCTGAAAGCCGTGAAGTAGCGTGCATCAGAGCGACCTCATTCCCCAGCTGCTTGGTTAATTTATTATTATTATTTATGACCTACATAATATTGGCCGTATTGTTTCAGTGACAATCAGAAAATCTGTTCCTTAAAGTAAGAAAACTACTTAACTGTTTAATAATACAAACAAGGGAGAACACACGGAATAAAATGATATGGGTAGAATTACATTCTAAATGAAATACATGTTGGTTCAATATCACAGTATTGCTAATGTTCCATAGGCTCATTGTGTACGATAAACAGGTAACAAAATCGATACGCATTTACATCATGTTTCCATGTTAGATAGTCATGAATTTAATGATAATAAAGCATCGCTTTAGACACTTGGCTATAATTAACTTTACATTAACTTATTGTTTAGAAAAAATATTCAGTCGTGCCCATAAGGTCATTGGGACTTCCCTAAACGCTCTTGTTTTACCAGTTCAGCGCGTACTTTGTCGGGAGTTTATTTATATATAGCTTTTCTAAAATTCGATGGTCAGCCATTTCTATTATCAAAAATATCAGGAAGTTACCAGATGTAGTTGTATATTTGAGTTTGGGATGTTGCGCTGGCATCTTTTTACGATATTCACAATATAACAAAGAGTCACTTAACAAAAATAAAACTTAATAAATAAAAAATGAAAAAACAAAAAAAGGAAGACCTGTCGTTTTATTCCTTTTAAAAAGAGACGGCTTTTCCAGATACTTCAGATAGTGTCCAGTTGTCATGTCTGTGCGTTAAATAAGAGAAAAAGCGTAGAACCCCACTAGAAACATAAGCCAGCTAATTCGAGTGCATATATTTAAGCTCAAACGAATGCATTTTTATAATTTAATTATAAGCTAATAATATTAATTGTAAGTGCTTTATTTATCGTTAAGTTGCATCGTGCGTGCCGTTGGGGGGATTCAAAGCGAAGACTTCTGATCTCTTCCAACCGGTTGGATGTTCAGCTAAGTCAGTGCGTCGTAATGAGATAATAAAGGACCGCCATATTTTCCTTTGCAGACTAAAACCGCTGCAGAGCTATAATGGGCTTAGGATGCCGCAGGTCTTATTGTTCTAACAGTTATGCGTTCTAGTACGACATAAATAGCTTATTTATTGATTTTCGAAAGTCTAATATTTATCTAGACATTTTTTGGTGGGAGACGAAAATTATCATCTAGTTAATGACGAGATGAAGATGCACCTCACTTGGGTTTATTACTAGTCTATAAGTCTTATTAGAAGTTGATCACGTACTTTGATATATTATATTATAGGAGCCTATCGAGGATTAGCTCGAACTATTTCCCATGAGATAAGTCTATATTTTTTTTTATTTTAATTAGAATTTTATTATTCATAAATATTATTCAATCAAATTCAAATAGATTAATTTGTCTAACTGCTGTTTTAAATAATTTTTATTATACTAGTAGAAACAATTTGACTTATCTGAAAGAGAATCTGGACTAATTTCAGCGTTAAACATTTATCTGTTACCGTTACAATATACTAATAATGCTGCTTTCGATATAAACGCAAACGGGGGCATTGTCGAGTGTCATGTAATTGCTATTGCGAGAGAAGCTATATCGTTGTGTAGAACGGAAATACCGTACTTGGGGCATATTATTTATATTTTCGTCTGCTAAATTGCATATTGATAATTTCGTATTGAAAATAAACTAAAAGTTGATGACTTTAGATATAGTCGTATCGATATTTTTGTACGACGAGTCGATTCTCATTTTGGGTGCTTATTCAATATAAACTGCTCATGTCCTATTGTGTTATGTGCCATAAAGGCCGGTGTCCAGAATGCCAGCCGGATTGATGCTAATGAAGTGGCAACTTTCATGTTGAACGTATTCTCAGCGTTTTGTTTTTGTGTTTGATCCCAACTGATCCTAGTCATGAAAATGCTGTTCCAATAAGTAACCAGCGCATCCCAACTTCGTATAAACTTTCAGCCCTAGATATTCAACATACCCAGTGACCTTTATCGATTGTCGATAAAGGAAATCAAGGCCGTCTCAACTGAACTAGCAAGGAACAGTAAAAACTTCCGAAGGAAACGATTTAGACATAAAAAAATGTAAACGGGCCTTTTTTTAAGGCCATTTTAGCCCTACTAACTTGATGATGCCGAAGTTTGATCGGCTTGCGTTCGAAGCACAAATGTATATTTGTTGTTGTTGTACTAAAAAATGTCTGATAAAACACGCCCGACACGGCGAAATTTGATTTTACTTGCTTGCTCGCCATATTTTTGACCAGCGTTCTCGTGTACACTAGCGGTCTGCTGCAAGCATTACAGAACTTCACTACATTGTCTCAGTTCGAATGTGACCAAACGGTGATTGCGGAACTGCTCCGTACACGAAATAACGGGACATTTTTCTGAATTTCGCCCCCTGCAAATGCCCTCAATTCCCAAGAAGTAAAAATATTTCTTTAATCCATCGGCAAACATCGGGTAACGCTTTATCCAACCACTTGCCAAATGCATGGGCACCCATACAACCCTGACTGGGCCCCGCGTTGCTCAGAATTTTCGTGCATCAGCTAGTCCACCGTAACCATATTACCCTGAATGCATGGAAGAACCTTGGTCTTTCTGCTAGTGGGGCAGTTGTCCCTTGTTCGTATAAAACCATTTTAATCTGGAACGCGACTGTTTGAAAAACCTTCGAACCGTTAAGCATCGCGTACAGGAAGCGCAGTTGGCCTCACCAGACAGAGGAAGAAAGTTGGACACGGGGTGTTGGGGCACACGCTCATGTTCGAGTTAATCGCGACCGAAAGGCGAAGAGTTATTGAAGAGGACTTTCCAGTCTGCCTCAGAATCAAACCTGTGGATGCATCGAAGGACCAGCAAGCGGGAACGGGTTTCGTTTCGGTTCAGAGGGATAATGCAATTGCAAAACTATATGTTGACGGACCTTGCTTTACATTAGACATATGCTAAAGTTCTACACTTCGTTATATAATTGTAAAGTTACACAGTTATCTATATAAATTAACCCTTATAAATAATAACCCTAATAATAAACCCCTATACGGCTATATTTTGTAATTTTCTGCTAGGCCAAAGCATAGGTGCTTGTAATTTGAGTTGGGAATTCAACACGTACAGGGTATAAATGTATTCTATTTATTGAGTACTGTAGTTGCAGACATTATTTTATTAGTTATGTCCATAATAAATTACAAATCACTTCGTATAAAATCGGCGTGTCCTGGCCGATAAGGCATTGGATACGCGTTCATCTGCGACAGGATATTTCTGTTGGCCGCATGAGAAAATGCTACCGAAAAAGCACCTCGTGATTAATTGACATCAACTGTTACTTTGTTTACGCAAAGTTGTCCCAATATTTTAGAAAAGATTTTTTAGTGGTATCTTTGCGTAAGCTTCTCTAATCTCGCTTTATGAAAGCTTCATCAAGTTCTGAGATTTTCAATCCACAATTGTCTGAGCAACTATACGTTTCAGTCCACTCAGTGCAAAAGTCGGAGATAAGAAGGACCACATATTGAGTTTAACGGCCACCATGACGATCGGTGAAATATGGATTAATGGGAAATTATATTCATATCTGAAAAAGGTTATAGCCTTTACGCAGAAATGATACCCATAGATATACGTGATGGATGACTCTCAGCTTTACAAAACTCAACAGCTCTTTTGAATCCAATATAATGTGTAGCTCACTTGACGATGGAGTCGGTCACCGCTTCATAGCAATACTTGGCTTATTAGAACCTATCGAATCCAATAAATATTTTGGCAAATCAATGATTTCTGTATGTACAATACTGGATACAACGAATGCTACGTTGAGGTTGTCGAAACTGGTCGTAGTTCACGCAGTCGTCTAACATGGTCATTTTTTTTCCGTATGGTGCGCGAACAGGGCTTGATTCCTCGTTCAATTTAGTTGTATGTATATGGAGTGATGCCGTTTGTAAATTTTGCACATAGCTGGCATTTACCGCTGGACCAATTAAATGAGCGTTTTCTTCTGAAGCATGACCTTTCTCGCTGCTTCACGAGGTTCAGTTGTGCGAGAGCTGGCTCAAATGATACGAAAAGGTGGAGAAAGTCCGATGCCTAATCTATTCCTTTCGATTTTTCGCAATGAAACGAAATCGTGTTCGTTTTAGGGAGAGACCGTGATTTTTTGTTGCCTAGCATAAATTGGCTCCGTTACATCTTCCAGGCTGGCAGCATTCCGCGTCCGTCAGTGGAGCCGCATCCGCCTGAATTGTTACTCGCACTTTGCAGCACCGCCTGTCAAATGTGTTTACATACATATGGTAAAAGCCGCCTCGATCCGTTTCCTGGAAATATCGATAGAAATAGAAATTCAGTAAGAACAAAGCCAAGTTTTAAACAGGCAGGCCAATACGCACACAGCCTATGTATGTCTCTACGTGTACTCCTAATTAATATACGATTTTTTTTTCCAGCACAACAGATCGTAGAACAACAGATTTAGTAGGCAAATTTTCTGTATTTAAGTACTATTGGGATAAAACCTATCTAGCCAATTTACCAACTCTATAGATAATGTTTTTATAAATTTAAAAATATAGTTAATAGATTTTAGTATTCGGCAGTTATCCACGGTTTAAAGCAACAAGGCCCTACTCGAAACATGGCAGGCTCTAGATTGAACTTTGATGTGACCCACTGATGCCTATCGCAGAGTACTACTCAAAATATCTCTTTATATTCTTACCTATGCAGATCTTATTAAATTTAAGTTAAATGGGGCTATGCTAGTTTTCATAAACGTTAGAATTGCTTAACAGTAGATTCCGTTGAACATGTATTCGTTCGTTCATCCGACCTGATTTTAATCTCTTATTAAATAATAAGTTTCGTAAGCTTTTTTGTCTAAATTGGTGGACGTATTACGGCTGAGAGGCGTTTGTCGATCTGGAAAACGGTGGTCCTTTCGATATCAATAGGCTCCCCTTGGCTGCATGTAGCCAGTAGAACACAGAAAAGTAGGACCGGACACCACAGGAGCTGCATTCCTTGAGCTGCAAGCAGAAAAAGGACGCAACAGAAAACGCGTACGCGTTTAGTGTTTTGTTTTTCGCCGTTACCTTAAGCCTTTCCATAGGGGCCAGTAGCTGGTCTTGCCTAAATCGTTTTTGTATCATAATCGCACATGGCGTGTGAATAGGCTCGAACAGCTTAAGCATATCAGGCATACAGACCCACTCGGACGAAGTGCCACTACAAGCTAACCAGTCCCCGCTTGATATTCGGTGAAGGTTTAACCTGGACCTCTACATTTTGGATCAAGACAGAGACATTTGCCTGTAGAATTAAGCGTCATTCCAGAGATTTTGTATCTATTATAGATTGGACTACGCATAAGAAAAGGTTATCGCGTCGCCGAAAACAGACGTATTCGATTTAAAAAAACGTGATTGCAAAGTATCTTTCTTACTCAAGGTAACCGTCCGTACGTCTGGAAATGTTGTAGTTTCAACTTGGCCTTTGACTAATTGAATTTTCGTATAAATTGCGTCGGTTCGTGCTATAATCGATAAGCATCGGTTCGCAGAGTTAATTTCGAGGAATCGAATGTGGTCTGAATTGTTTCGGCACTTCACGTTTCGCACTTCACCGAAACACAGACAGAACAGATTATTTCTTAAAAAAAAAGGCGTTCTATTCAGTGGCGATATCCAGTAAAAACGCGGCGACGATGATGTTCTCCTGCCCGTCAATCCGGTCCGCCAATTAAGCACTCGGATCGACGGAGAGAGGGC